TCAACGCGTTTAGCCGAACTTGCTTTGTCGGCGACGCCCAGGACACAGATCCTGAGGACATCAGCGAAGCAGAGCTGGTGCCCGATGCTGAGATGCCTCAGCGAGGTGCCCCTGATGGGGTGGATGATGCCGGTGGCGCACTGACGCCCGAGGAAAGAGAACGCCTCATTTTGGAACAATTCCCGTTCCCCGGAACGCCGAATACAGAGGCAGAGCGCCGAGCGGCGTGGAGATCGTTACCGCAACGAGTCCGGGTAGCTATAAGGCGCCTGCACCGATCGTTTGGCCATCTGCCAAACGCAGTCCTGGTTCAGGTCCTGAAGCAGGCCCGGGCGAGCAAGGATTTCATCGCCGCTGCCGGACTTTACAAGTGTAAGGTCTGCCTGGACACAGCTCCAGTGCCCAGGCATCACCCTGTCGCAGGCGATAGTGTATTCCCTAAGGAGTTCAACCATACGATAGGTATGGATGCGCTAGAGGTCAAAGACTTCTATGGAAATCGCTATACTGCTGTCAATATAGTTGACATGGGAACAAGCTTCCAGCAAGTTGTGCTCGTGAAATCTGGGGGTGGTAACCCAAGTGCCCGCCAGTGTGTGAAATGCCTGATCGACAGGTGGGTCAGCTGGGCTGGACATCCCACTGACAGAGGGACGCACTTCAGGGGAGAATTTTCAGAGTATTTGGCACAGCATGGTATAATCCATAAAAACGCCCCTCTTGAGAGCCCGCAGACTATTGGAAAAGTTGAACGCCATGGTGGACTTGCTAAGGCCATCATCAGGAAAGTCGCGCAGGAGGCTCAACCCTCGAATATCGAGGAGATGGAGGCGGTCGTTACCGAAAGTGTTACTACTAAGAACGAGCTTAGTAGGCACCAAGGGTTTAGCCCGGCACAACACGTGTTGGGAAAGCAGCCTCGAACGCCGGGTTCAGTGCTAGATGAATCCGAAAGCCTTGGTACATTGTTCACCAAGTATGATGAGACGAGTGTATACTACATTCGGCACAGAGCACGGCAGGAAGCCAAAAAGGCCTTTGTTCACTTAGAGACTTCCCGCAAAGTGGCCAAAGCGTTACAGCGTAATGCAGCCCCTCTAGACACTGACTATAAGGTTGGTGATTTAGTTATTTACCGTCGGGATAACGTCCCTGGCAGCCCAGGTGTCGTGTGGTCCACGGTTAGCCGCGTCATAGGACGTGAGGCAGAGAATGCGTACTGGGTATTACACGAGAATATCCCTGTACTTGTGAACGCTAGGAAGATGCGCCCGGCTGATGAAATTGAAGTTGCAGCGCATCGCGTTTTGGCAGGAGAACCAGTGCTTCCGGAAGCCATTGTTCATGGACCGGAACAAAGGTTCCAGGATGAGCGCGTAGCAGACCCGGTCACAGCACCAGCGACGCCACGTCCAGTGGCTGCAGCTGCCCCGCTTACACCGGCAGTCGCGCACGATGTGCCTATGCCAGCACCATCGACGCCAGCGATGATGCCCGGCACACCGATGCCAGCGCCATCCACGCCTGCAAGGTTTCGCGCCAAAGATAAGACGGGCGAAACCGCCCGGTCGCGATCGCCAGTAGGAGGCCGTGATGATGCACTAGTTGCGGAAGAGATTGATCAAGTAGAGATCATGGCAAAAGGCCTGATAGATACTCAGGGTTTTTCCCCGGATGAGTGTCTGGCCCTCCTTCGTGCCTATGACCGCGACCGACGCGAGGCTTACACGCGCCCGCTCCTAGATGATGGAGATCCCGGGTGCATAGCCCTCGCGGTGGGAGTATATCGGCACGGTGGTCTTGTTGGAGTTTCTGGACCAACGCGCGAGAGACCGTCGTTTGCCATGTACCTCAACCACTACATCTTGCATCACAGTATGCAAGCCGGTCATCACCTCCCACAGTGGAGTAGCGTTCAGCTTACCAACAGAGGCGCAGAGGCCCATAGAGACCTAGCGAACACTCCTGGCTCGCATAACTACACTATAGGTGTGGGCGAGTATCGTGGAGGCGGTCTATGGGTGGAAGAAGCCACGGGTACAACCCCCGTGCGTGTTCAAAACACGACAATGTATGGCACCGTCCACGATACTAAGAACAAGGTTCTTAAGTTTCGCCCGAAGGACGTGCACATGGTCGCACCGTTTGTAGGAGAAAGATACAGTCTCTCCGCATACACGGTGAGTGATCTCGGCAAGTTGTCTAAAGATGACATACAGCTTTTGTCGGACTTAGGCTACCCCATATATAGGGATGCGCCCAATACCTTTGGCAGGAAAGGCGATGGGATATACACCATGGGTCACTCTGATCTTCCCATCGAGACGTTCCTAGAGCGCATCCACGAGTACGGGATTAGGGAAATCGTAGATTGCAGAAGCCATCCGTACAGCGTTCGGCATCCACAATACAATTGTGATGAGCTTTCCGCCACATGCTTTGCAAAAGGGGTTGTGTACAGTCACGCCCCCGAGTTAGGCAACAGGAATCGGGGCGGGATTGAAGCCAATCTGCAAACAGACCAAGGGCTCTGTACGATCGCTAGAATAGTTAGCGAGGCCCACGATGACTTCCACCGAATACTTCTGTTGTGTTCGGAGGCCAGTTGGCGGCGATGCCATCGGCGAAATATCGCCCAGCACATATGGCTCGAGCATTCGAAACTTGCCGAGCACATACGTGCTAACGGACTGCCAGAAGCCCATCCGTGTCACTACATTCCTGAGGAAGACGACGGACTGGCAGCAGCATCGCACACAGCTGCGATTGGCACGACTGTGCCAGCAGCTGAGCCCTTGGATAGTCGAGCGGCGGAATCCAAGGCCTTTGCTCTCACCCCAGATGGGGAAGACGCCATCGGCTCTGATGTCGATGCTGGCTACATGGCCTCGCTCCTGGATTACCACAAAGCCCCTGTCGAAGTACAGCTGGGGCTGGATGCTGCCATGAAAACTGAATGGCAGAAGTACACTGAATTCAACGCAGTGGTCCCTTGCACAGACAAGGAGTTCAAGGAGCTTACAAAGGCTGGCCACGTGTGCATCCCCACCAAATGGGTCCTCACCGATAAGAATGAACACCTAAAGGGGACGCCAGCATACACTCCCAAGTGGAAAGCACGCTTGGTCGCATGTGGAAACTTCGAGCATATCTCGAATGAGGAGGATATCAGGGCAGACAGCCCCACGGCCGAGCCGGAAGGCATAGCCCTTCTGTGTTCATGGGCGGTTTCATTGGCCCTGCGGCTCAAAGCAGCCGATATAACGAACGCATACTTCCAAGGGAAACCCCTTGAGCGCCTTCTCATTCTTCGGGTTCCTAAACACCCTAAGGGTGTACCCGATGCAGAGATTCAGCGAGCCGGGCATATGATTGCCCGAGTACCCGTGTATGGCACGACCGACGCGGGTCGGAACCTTTATCTCCGCATAAAGGAGAGTGCCCGCGAATTTGGCTTAAATGCCTCGCAAATTCTGTCAGCCCTGTACTATATTACAGGAGAAGGTGGTCGTTTGTGTGCTTGCTTGTGCACCCACGTGGATGATTTCCTGTGGGCTGCTACCGCCGAAGGCGAGCCGGCTATCCAGAATCTGCTGGATAAGTTTAAGATCGGTCGCATAGAGACTGAGAAGTTCCGTTTCTGCGGACGCGAGTATGTGCAAAGCGCCGATGGGACCATCAGTATAAACTGTAGGGACAACACGCGTGCAATTCGCCCGATCGATATACATAAGTCTGAAAAGGGCACGACTCCAGTCTCGAATGGCCAGCGCACAGCGTTGAGATCCGTCATAGGATCGCTGGCTTGGGTGGCTCGCGCCACGAGACCTGATCTTGCCTATAGGGTGAATGCCCTGCAGCAGCGTGTTACGACAGCCACGGTGGATACACTCCGTGAAGCAAACCGCGTAGTAGCACTGGCGTTAGGAGATGCGGATAGGCCGATCACGTACAGCGCTAAGTTACCCTGGAATACAGGGGAGCTGGCGATTGTCACGTTTTGCGACGCCTCCTTTGCAGGAGAGGCAAACCATAAGTCGCAGAGAGGTCGTTTCCACTATCTCACTTCCGCACAGTCGGCGGTGGACAAGAACGCGTCAACGCATGAGATGCACCTCATTTCGTTTTCCTCGTCCACCATGAAACGGGTTTGTCGCGCCACACTCCAGTGTGAGGCTTACTCGTTGCAACATGCGATAGAGCATGGAGACCGCATTCGAGCAGCAGTGCTCGAACTGCTCGGCAAACTGCCCCGGTCACAGAACTGGGAAGAAGTCGCCAAGAGATCGATGTTCCACCTGCAGTATACGGACTGCAGGTCCCTCTCGGATCACTTGACTGCGTCGATTCCAAAATCATGCGAGGATAAACGCCTTGCCATAGAGATGTCTGGACTCCGCCAAGGACTTTGGGAAGAGGACGAGCTAACGCACGCCTTGTACCATCCTTACGGCGACGAGTTGAGATGGATACCGACGCATTTACAACTTGCGGATTGTTTGACTAAGAGTATGAAACCGCTTTTGATCAATCACAGCATTGATCGCAATCTCGTTCAGGTGCTCGATGTGCCCGCGCAAGCCGCACAGAATACCGAGAGTACCGAAAGCACTCCGCTTCGCAATTGAAGAACTCAGCCTGGAGCCTTGAGTCGCCGCACTCGGCTCGGTTGACTGCGCAAGCTCCCGGTATAACCCGGTGGAGTAGGCTTGGCCCAAAGCGGTCATAATTCGAGCATGATTCGGACGTCACACTACAGATAAGACGGGTGTGAAATTTCCCTGTCTTGAAGCGCCGTGTTGACCTGCCCTCATGCGAGTGTAGTCTTTTGAGTTAGATCTGAATGCACCCTGTACGACAGACGTCTTGGGCTCAGACCAAAAAGTGCGCTCGTTGTGTGGTTGGACACTCACTAATCCAGTTCCTGCTTCAAAAAAGTACTCCGTAGTACCCCTACCCCTGAATTCGCAAGTTTGTGACACGTCCGTGCTGTCGTCCAGGCCAGCCTTCGCGGTTGCGCGGGATCATGTCCTTAAGTGGATCGTGGTCGCGGTCCGCGGGACTCTGTCGCTGAAGGACATCCTCACGGACTGCGCCGTTAACTCGGTGCCATTTCTTGAAGGCTGCGGTGGCTGCGGTCCGTCTGGTCGGTCGTGGTCGGTGGCGCAGCGCCTGCTTCGCAGGCACTGCTCACGAAGGCTTCGTCAAGACCTCGCAGAAGCTGCTCGAGGCCGGCGCCCCCATAGGCCCCCTCAACAGCCGCCCGCCACCGCCGCTTCTTCGCCGCTTCGCCGCTTCGCCTTTGCTCAGGAGATCGAGGAGCTGCTGCGGAAGGAGATGCAAGCCCACCAGGACCGGGCGAGTCTGTGCAATACCTTGTGGACCTACGGATGAACATGCAGCCTACCAGTCTACTGCGAGGGCTACCGGCTGGTGTTCTGTGGGCACAGCATGGGTGGAGCCGTTTCAGCCATGTGCGTGGCCATGCTGCGGGATAAGGCGGCTTCGCTTAACGTACGATTTCGGAGGCTGCATGCGATGTCCCTGAAGTGCAGACGAAGGCAGCCAAAGATGTGGCGCGCTATGGGCAGTGGGCATCACAGTGCCCCTCAGCTTCTTCATGACTTGGACTCTTCACGTGCTTGGAGTGTTGTCCAATACGCAGGCTGTGCTTACGGCATTGGCACCCCTGCGGTGCTGTCTCGAAACATCTGCGAACGTCTGGCCCAAAGCCGCGCGGCTTTCGTGGTTGTGAATGCGCAGGAGCTGCGATGAGGGGTTTCTTATGCTGTGCTTGCCGCGGAGAGACGGAGTCTGCCTGAAAGCATGCAGGATTGGTCTCCACGGGCGTCCGTGTCGCTGCGCGGCTGCCTTTCAAGGGAGTTCCTGACAAGCTCAGACAAGCTCAAAGATGAGAGGTCTGCTTTAGGCAGAAGTTCAACCGAGCCCATAGCTGGGAAACAAAACCCAGATAGGACTCTCAAAAGCCACCGGCCGCGTCGTCCTATGAGGTGTAAGGTCTGTCACCAGGAAAAATAGGCTGGTGACGCACGGGTCGAATCTTGGAATCTTGACCGGCGACTGCATCTTAAGTGTCATTGAGGAGCGTTTCCGAGCTCCTTGACGACTTGGTGGAGCTCAGCCTCGCGCGCACAATGATGCGCGACTTGGCGGGGGTGCTGGGTGTGGCCGGGCTTCAGGTGATGGCGCAGCTGTTGATGGTACCGTCCCTTTCCGTTCGTTGGCTTGCAAAATCTGCAGGGCAGCATTTACTATTACTAGGCTTGCTCGGGATGTGATGTTACAGTGCTCCGGAGCTCAACCTGAGACGGCCTGGCGAGGCATGGCCACAGGTGCCGGCCAAGAGCTTCGGCGCCCCGAGCCTGAGCAGCTCGAGCAGCTTCCACCTGGCGTGATGCTGCAAATCGTGCCGGGCCAGGAGGGACGAGCGGTGCCACAAGCTCGCACTTCTGGCATTTGATCTGCACTACGCCACTACGCACTTTGCAGGACCAGTCCTTGTTGAAAGCATCTTCAACGGATTATCGCCACTCGATGCCTGCTTGGCCCGACGTCGCCGCTCATATCCCGTTGGCCTACGTGGAAGGTGCCTGGTTCTCATAACAGCAAAAACTGACTACTTTCGGCCAGTTCTTTTCGCCCAGTTGGACAGGTTTGGCCGTGGGCCTCGCGCGATCTCTACGCAGCGAGGGCAGCACCAAATGGCGCGGCCTGGCATGGATGAGGGGAAGGTGCTACTGTGGAAGTTGTTGCGGCCACTTGCCAGTGTTGTTTGCCTCCAAAAGCCGCAAGGCTCAAGTGCAGGACTAGTCACCAGTCACGCCTGCCTCTCGACTTTTGACAGACAGATCGGATGGCGGAAGTCGCAGCAAAGATGGATGTGGTGGATGCGAAGGAAGTGCAGGTTCAGAATGATTTGGACGGCCAGCTCGCCCAGGGCGGCCAGGCGGGGGCAGGGAAGGCTGAGGTAGACCTGGAAATGTCGCAAAGCGATGTCACAGAGGACTTGGAGAAGCCTTCGGAGGAGCAGCCACCAGTGCGGCTCATGCTGCTTGTCATGCTCAGCATGTTTCAGGGCTACGCTTCGATGGTGGGGCCTCTCCAATCGGCCTACAAGCACCGGCTGGGCATCAGCACGGACGGCACTGCAGCGGCACATGCCTTCACACAAGCGGCCGTTGCAGTCCACTATGGCAAGCTGATCGCCCGCTTGGGGCATAACGTCGTCTTCGCACGCCTCACAACCTGGACCCGAGTTGTCATCGCGATGTGCTTCATGTTTGTGGGGATCACAATCCCCACCTTGCTCGTTTTCACCTTGGGCTGGAGCTGGGTGGGGTCGGTTTTCATCGCCTACATGCTTTCGGGCCTGGGCCTGGGGATTTTCGAAGTCACCTTCCTGAGCGTCATCACGCCCATGGGGAGGGCCACGAAGGCCTGGGCCATTGTGGGAGCTCCTGCAGGCTTCGCAACCATCAACATCCTCGGCCTCACAGCTTCCTCCTTCGGTTTGGAGATGGTCTACATCTACTGGTACATCCTCTTCTGCCTGCCTATCGGGCTCTTCTTATTCACGCGCTTGGCCCCCAAAGGCAACACGGAGTTGAAGACGGCGAACTTCGCAGCCTCGTTACTCCAGGCTCGGCACTGGATGCCGGGAATGGCCCCCTTCTTTGTGGCACAGTTCTTGAGTCATTTCGCAATGGAGAACTGGCCGGCCATCTTCTACATGTTCCATCCTCCCTACGTGCCCCTCTTCAATCCCAAGAGTGATCAGCACCTCATGAAGTGGGGCCAATTCTTTGCTGTTACCTATGTCTTCATCTTCCTCGGGGACTCCATCAGCCGCCGAATTGCGATCTACCTTTCAACGCCCAGCTTGTTCCGACGATTGGTCTTTCTCGGCATGGCAATGGCCTGCATTGCTCTCGGGCTCTATCTGGAATCCCTTGCGATTGCCATCATCATCCCGATTGCCATCTTCCTGGTCTTCTGGGGGAACGGCACGATCTACGGCTTGACGGCACACCACGTTGATAAGCACGTGCCGAGCGAGCACAATCTTGCATCTTACTCTTTCTGGTGCTTTGTTGGGGATCTCGGTGCAGTTCTTGGAGGCCTGGGCCCCAGCCATTCGCAGCATGTGGCGCCGTGACATGCTGGCATCAGAATACAAAGTAGTAAGCGCTGCTGCGGGTCTGTTTTGAGCTCGATGTTCTGTCACTCTCCGCTCGAACTGCGGCTCCTAGGGCGCATTAGCGTACGGGCATCGTACATGTAGTAATACATCGTGTATTTCTATGTTGAAGGTGTTCTGTGTGTATATCTGAAGGCATGCATGCATAGGGTCACCCGCCTGCACGCTTGCACTTTCTCATACAGGCAGAAGCATAGCATGCATAGCTCATAGACAGGGAGCAGCTATTGCTGCAAATGCAAGGCAAAGTTACTGCATGTCCGTTTTTCGCCAATGCAATCAGTCCAGCATCTTGGAGGTATTTTGGTGGACAGCACGCACGACCTCTTCTGCAGGGGTCATGAGGGACCCTTCGAATGCTAAGTCTGCGGCCTTCTGGACAACCACATGCGTTTGCCGCCCGAATTCCTGACTGTTTTCCAATTCGATTTTGACTCTGCTTGTCTCACTACTGCGCGGCTGGCAGAGTTGCAAACCACTGGCTCCGATACAAGTCGGAGCCTGGATGCCAGCAGTGGCGAATTCAGTGAGAAGCCGCGGCGATCAACGGATTGCTGCTAAGGCTTTTGCTTAATTTCCTTTCCAACAGTGGAGGGATGTATAGATGTTACCACTGGGCCCAACTCGTTGTAGTTTCTGGGCACGGGAGAATCTGGGGACTTCGGAAACTGACAGCCCAGCTCACGAGCGAAGCGGCAGAGCTTTTCGCCCACCCCCTCGAAAAAGACGTACTGTAGTGTCTTGGTTCTTTGAACATGGAATCACAGACTTAGCTCGGAAACGTAGGGAGCCGCCAAGGCCACCTTCCCACCCTTGCCGCGCTGCGCCGGCTGATGCAAGGGGAGCGCGAGCCTGCAGCCAACGCGACCAGGACAGCAAGCAAGACTTGGGGCTCGGGGGTCTTCCGGTGTCAGACACTGGAGCTCCTGTTTCCACACAATCTCATTGTATTTTCGCAGGCAACAATGAACAGGCAGTATGGACAGTATGGACCAAAAGGAACAATGCCAACAAGAAGAAGGAAGTTGCATAGAGGGACTAGGGCAAGGAAGACAGCTGGCCTTTTAGCCTCACGAGCCCCATGGTCGGCACAAGCTCGGTGCTCGCACTGGTGTCCTGAGTACGTGCTTAACATCCGAAGCCGACTTTCCTCAACGCAAGCGCGGGCACCTAAACCGGTGTCAGACATCTTGATACATCTTGTATAAACCACGCCCGCATGCCCAAGCCGATAAGCATTGAAGACACGCGCCCAAAGCCGAAGTCTTGGAGCCTAAGGCCAAGCTTCCAAGCTTCCCCGACAAGGTGGTGGCCACGGATTGCTTGGACAAGAGGTTGTTATAATTGAATCAAGATACATCGCCGAACGCGATAGCTGGCAGAGAGAGTCCAGGTATCGGAGTCCGAAGGGTGTACAGGAGCGACTTTCTGTGGCGGCGATAAGGTTCTGGAGTTTCTGAGGATTGCAACCAGCGTGATACTAGTAGCAAATCCATGGCGCACCTACGACGATCCCACGCTGCTTGGGAGGCTCGCGAAGTTCTCGGAGCTGAGCTGCGGGTGCTTTGCTCTGAGAGGACAGTTTTCCTTTGAGTGCAGTCGGAGCTGTGAGATTTTTGGCTTCAACTGTTGGAGTATCTGCAGCGGGCCCGTGGCAGGTGGCAGAATCGGCATGTTGTGCGAAGAGTGGATCACAATTGATGGTACTCTCAGCCTGCAAGCGCCCACGAAAGATGCACGGAAGCTTCCCAAACAGGAACTGAAAGAACCCTTACGAAGCTAAACGCTCCGGTCTGCCCCGCGATCCTCGAGTTCGCCAGTCTGCCTTGCTCATGGTGCCGGAAGAGAGATGAACGACCCTCCTTTTACTTCGGGCACTTTACGACTTTGCGGTGGTGCAACAATTGTATGGGCTTGTTGGGCCACCTTACTTCTGAGGAGTCTGCATCACAGACAGTCTCAGCAAGCAAAACCATAAAGCTCCATGTCGAATTTAGTTGCCTGGTCCGGGTCAAAATACAACTCCTTGAGACAGAGCAGAGTTTCACCAATTGCTGTTGCTGCAAAGTACAGGCAGCGGAAAAGCGAGCGCTTATGCACTTGCACGACGGGGCTGGTGTTCTTGTCCATCGTCTTTTGCCTGTACGATGTTGATAGCCGTATCCAAGCTGGGTCGAGGTTCTGTCAATGCTTTTCAGAGGGCGGGCGTGACTGAGGCTCCAGCAGCAGCGTCCTCGAAGCCGAGGAGGTGCGCAGCAGTTCAAGGCACCAGCACCTGTGGAGCTTCAAACTTCCTCGTGGAACTGGAGCCCTGCTCGGTTGTTAGATGTCAAGTTGTGTGCATTCGGTTGGTTCGTTCATGCCACCCGCCGCCGACCCAATAGTTGTGCTGCTGTAGGGTCACGAGTTCTCTGGGTTCTGCCAGGAGCCGAAGCCCGAAGAAAGTGGGCGAACACGCCGGCGCTAAGGGCAAGACAACATCGCCAGCCATCGAGCAGGCGGACTGTGAGAGGGCTTCCGCTCAAGTAGTATGTGGCACTCGTAGGTCGGGACGTACAACTCACAGATTATTCGCCAGGGGCATGATTGTTCCAGAGGTTTCTGTTGCCTCCAGGCTTTCCTGCTCTCCATTGCTCGAGCTTCTCTGCATTCGGATAAGAGTGCCGCCACAGGCCAAGCTCGAGGCTTTGGAAAAGCTCAGAAAGCTCCAGGCACCGAACTTTGAGTCTCGAGAGTGTCACTCTTCGGCTTCAAGGCAAGGCCGAGACACCGATTGAAGCAAAGCTGCCCTGTGCGCAGTCCGTCGAGCCCAAAGAAGCGAGAGCGAAGGAGTGGAGAGCGCTGCTCCGCAACTGCAGCCCAGAGGTTCAGGGGCTCTGCTTGGCTTCAGGGATCAAGACCGGTACTGGTGCGGCGGGGAAGATCATAGCCTTCGGCACAGTTCGGGGACCTTTACACCGTTGAGTCCAAGTTGAAGGCAGCCCTCCAGACCATGGCATCGCAGATCCCGTCGCCTGAGGCTGAGAGATTGGCATCCGGACAAGAATCCGGACAACATCGAGGCCGGCAGGCTGATAGAAGTAGCAGGTCCAGCAACTTTCAGCCTGCCGTGTCTGGTTGTCTCCTGTTCGAAGACGACACGCAGGTGGCGAAGGAGGTGTTTCAGTTCCTCCAGAAGGGCAAGACCATTATCAACGTGTAGTGAGCCCTTACGGGAGGTCCCCTCAAGCTTCTGCGTCTCTAGCTTCCGAAACACGGCTCGGTGGCCCCTTAGAAGAGGGTCAGGTTCCTGCTGGATGCTTGGGGCCCTCCTCGACGTTCCATGTATCTCGCGGTGGAAGCTGTGAGGTGACACTTGCAGGGTTCTTGATGGGGGTGTGGATCTTGCACGGGCTTGGGTGGCAAACTAGATCTTCTGCTGGCGTACCAGGGAAGCAGGGCAGGGCAGCCTTTGGACAATCTTTCGAGAACATTGACCGCCAGCTTTCTTAAAGTGGTTCCACCGCGAGAGCCATGTAGCCGGGCCGTCGTCTCAACTTTGGCGGTGCAGTACATGTTGAAGTTGTATTCAAGAAACTTCTCTCAGCTTGCCTTTGTGATGGTGAAGACTCCCGAGACAAGTGCCCTTCGCATTTTCAACTTGTAGCAAGCAAGGATCGCCCTCTCTGCCCCGGCAAGTTGTGGTTCGCTTGCATGCGAGTTCACTGCCAGCGTCTAAGGGCGGCCAGTCGTCGCTTTTGACCAGTGATGTGTTCCGAGACTGCATAGCTAACAAGAAAGCCTAAGATTTGAGCCTTGGCGAGACGTGGCCGACACCTTCTGATGTCAATCCGTCGTCTGCTCTCACCCCTTCGAGCTACTCATATCCTAACGCATCCAGGTAAGCATCGCACGCAGGAGATGTGCACTCGTGAACTGCATGAGCAGAGATCGTGGACAGGTGTTCTGAGTTCACAGACTGCATGGTAGTGCATGGTAGACGCCTCATGTTTCCCACGAAGTATATCCAAACGTCGTTGCTGCTGAGCGCCTCGTGCCGAGTGATCTGTCCAGTCAAGGAAAGAAGCGTGCAGTGGATGGACTTCCCCAGCCTCCGGCGACCGTCCTGAAACGGTAGAGAGGGAGCCTTAAGGGATGCCCCACCCGCAAGAGAGAGAGAGAGAGAGAGAGCCGCGTAATGGAGCTGCAGGAGGTGTGCTTCAGAATCGCCAGTGCTGCGCAAGTTCGGCTCGAGCCTGTTCCCAACACGCCCGGGGGCTGCCTTGTGATCGCACGCAGAATCCGCACTTCTCCTGGAGATCCAGAGATTCCAAATCTGCACCAGCCATGCGCGCCCAATGTCTAACCAAAATCCAGGAGAAGTCTGGGCTTTGTGTGACGGTCTGGTGTCTCCGATCGTGAAACGAGGAGGAAGCTGAGTAAGCATCTGTAGCCAGAGCCTCGAAAGAACCCGAGCCCTCGAAGTCTCGACTTGCGCCGATGGCCTGACAAGCCGAGTTTCTCAACATACCGTGGCTAGCAGTTCCCTGTCACTGTCAGCCGCACGATCACAAACATGGGCTCCTGCGGCCACTGCTAAAGGCGAGCCGCTTTTGTCGCCGGTCGAAGGGCATGAATTTGCGAGGTTCATGGCGATCCACTTGCTGTAGACTGTTGAGCATCTCCTGGTAGAACTATGGACTATGGTAGTCCCTAGGTCTTGCAGGGCCTGTGCTGAGGCCTCTCCTTGCTGGTCCTGCTCATTTCTAGCAACAGCGCAAGAAGCATCATGTGAGCAGCACTTCAACACCACTACACCCTGACAGAACGACTAAGTCTGGGGTATGCTCCTCAGTGCGTGCAGAAGAGGCATGCAGCCGCTCGCTTGCGCCAATACCACCTGCCCGTACCAGGCGACAGTCGAGGGATGTGTTGTGAGGCCGTTCTGCAGGCTTGTGGTGATAGGTGGGGTTTGTGGATTTCGCGGGCTTTTAATGCGTCAAATAGCCGCTTGCAGGCGTGGCGGTGCTTGGAACCGGCCCGAATGGTAGAGGGGTCACTTGTGACTTCTATTTTGTCTCGCTTGTGACTTCTCATTTCTCACCTTGAACAATCCTGCATTTCCATAGGTTTGGACTCCCTCCCTCCCTCCCTCCCTCCGTCCACATCCTGATACCAAGCAAGCCGAAACAGGATGTTGAACCAGAATCGCCAAATGAGGGGGCGTGTTTAAGATAGATGATGAAGTAGCATCGCCAAATGCCAAAGGAGGGGGCGTGTTTCAGAATAAATATTCGGTTATATTACATTATAAAGATTTTCTTTTACAGTTTTTATGTTTATAACATGTTACGCTATATACTGCTATATGTTATACTATATTATACTATCTTACATTATATAATGCTACGTTATATATTGCTATATCACTTTTTCTCGTTTCTTATATTATGTTATATTCACCTATATTGTACTATATCATTATATCATTTTATACTGTAGTATGTTACATCATGTTATATGATATCACATCATTTTACATCATATTATATAATACAACGTAATATGATACAATATAATATTTTCGTATAATATAATATATTATATTATATTAGGTTTTATTATGTTATATTATTTTACATGATGTAATATAATATTATATTATAAAATATTCTCCTATACTATATTATACATATATTATTTTATATTATATTATATGATATGATATTATAGTATATCATATTATATGATATGATATTCTGTTCTATGAGAGTGTTGTGTTTTATTTAAATTGAAAGAAGATAATGTAGTGTAACGTAAGCATGCTTCTTTTAATTTAAATGACACACAACACGAACGAAATTGGGTTTTCTGGGGTGTGTTTTTATTAATTGGTTCGTTGGTTCGTGTTTAGGTTGGGTTATTTCGTGCTTCAGTTTCTTACCATTACAAATAACCCAACCACCCACACCACACCAACCACGAACCATTAATAAAACCACATCACCAGTAAACAACCAAATTTCGTTCACTTCTCGTTTGTATTTTGCTTCATTTTAATTCACGCGTTGATTTCGCGTAATGAGAGGACGTGTTAAAGAATAATGGGCAACCGGAATCGCCAAATGAGGGTCCGTGTTTAAGACAGCTGATGAAGCAGCATCGCCAAACGAGGGGGCGCGTTTCAGATAGATGCTGAAGTAGCATTGCCAAATGAGGGGGCATGATAAAGATATATGTTGAACCGGAATCGCCAAACAAGGGGTCGTGTTTCTATATATTTGAACCGGAATCGCATCGCCAAATGAGGGGTGTGTTTTTGATATATCTTGAAGCGGAATCGCTACATGAGGGGCCGTGTTTAAAATATATCTTGAACCGACATCGCGAAACGAGGGGACGTGTTTTAAATCTTGAACCGAAGTCGCCAAATGAGGGGTCCGTTTGAGATATATTGGGAACCGGCGTCGTCAACTGCGGGGCACGGGCGTGTTTAGGATATATGATTAACCACAACCGCCACATGAGGGGGCGTGTTTAAGTTATACGATAATAAGCCGGACTCGCCAAACGCGTGTTTCAGATAGATGATGCGGTAGCATCGCCAAATGAGGGGGCGTGTTTAAGATACATTTTGAACTTTAAATGTAAGGTCTATGAAGAACCGGCATCACAACTGATTTTCGCCACCAGGGTTGCGAATTCTTCTGTCAGCTCGGAGAAGTCACAGGTGATTCGAAGCACTTTTGCCGAGACGTGCTGCAAACTCGTGTGTCAGAGAAGTCACAGATGACCAAAATAGAAGTCACAAGTGATCCGCCTCTCGGGCAAGGCTTGAGAAGCCACAAGCGAGACAGAATAGAAGTCACAAGTGAGCGGCCAACCGCCCGAATCTTAGGTCTGTTAGCGCGTGCTGAAGGACAGAGCTGCCCCAACGGGTAAAGATCTGCAGTGCAGGTTAGCCAGACACAACCCTTTGGCGGCTTCTGCTGCAAGAGATCCTTGTCATCGAAGTTGCAGATTTCGCCATGAATTTCGTTTTTCGATTGCACTTGTTGGACGAGCTCGTCGCATGTCTGTCAGGATGCCACTTGTCTTGGGGAAGCGGGTGGGAAGTTGCCGATCATGGCCCTCGTTGCGGCTTGTCTAAAGTTTGACTGTCCCCTTGTGGAATCGCATGCCACTCATCCTCGATTTTTGCTGAAGGCGAGAAGCTCTCAGCTGATACGTTCATGCGCAGAGCTCGACCGGACCCGCCTGAAGACCCGCTTCCGGTCAGCAAGCGTGGCTCGCTTGCAACTTTGGCCATCGAGATCGCTTTGTGCTGAAACACGGATCTCCCCTAGACACATAACCTCTTAACCCTTCTTTCATTGCAAGGGTATTTAGCGCATTGTAGGGTAAGGTGAGGGGTTATGGGGTACGAGGTGTCAGGCAGTGCGGGGACCTCCAAGGATTGCTCGGAACGGTCTATGGTGGGTCCTGGAGGACGTTTTCGTTGGCAGAAAGGGTTCTGTCAGAGACAACGCCGATGCATATGATTAGACAAGGAGCAGGGATGCTCTGAGGTTCAGAACTGGGTCATGGCCTGTTAACATCCAGAGGAGCTGCTCATGCGGCAGGTATGTGGGAACGAGGGGGGCTGAGCTTGAAAGCCTTTCAGATTCTCCAGTTATGGTATGGTGTTGGCCGGCATTGCTTGCTGCCTCTGCTGTGCGTTTCGCAGATGTTCTCATGTATAAGAAAAGCCACAAACGCCATAACAGCCGTAGACTGCATCGGCCAAATCTCCGCAAAAAAGAAGTCTTGACCGCCCAGGCAAAAGCAAGAGTGGCAAGCGAAAGGCGGGACTTTGGCTGAACGCAGACTATCCGCTGAGTTCGGACGAGCCGGTTCAGCCTAATGCATCTACTAGCGCTGATGTGATGGGCGGCTTGCCCAGCATTGAGGGACGCATCTTTGACATGCCATCCAGTGCAGCACGTGCTATCTCAGGTTTAGTGCACCTGAGGTCCGAAACTCGGCGCATTTGCCTTAAAGGCCTTCAAGGTGCCGACGAAGAAGCAGCTGGAGTTCTGGCAGACAGATTCGGAATCTATGCCCGTGCGGCATCACCTTCCGAACCCGAAGGAGCAGAGGATGACCAGACAGCGACACAGGCACCTTGGCAGCAGGTATTTCGATGCTTCAAACCACCAGCAGCTATTCTGCACCGAAGTGTTGACCTGGGTTTGCTGCGGAGAGGCACGAGCGGTGGAGTGGAGATTGGCCACCTGCAGTGGTCAAGGAAGAGGTCGCCCCTGACAAAGAGGGTGAGGAGCGTTGGGATGCTGGTTCAGCAAGCGCCTGTCAGGCTTTTTGCCCGGTGGACGGGCCCTGCTTGAAGGAGGTCAAGAAGACAGATGCAGACTCGAAACTTGCCACTGCCGCAGAGAGCGGAGATTGGCAACCCGGCGGGGTCAAGGAAGAGGTCGTCCCGCAAAAAGAGGATTCCAGTCCACAGGAGCGGGGCAGATGCTTGTTCAGTAAGCACGGTCTGCCGGTGTTTGTGGCATGTGTTTCAGGCTACAGGCCCAGTTGACTGGCCCTTCGAAGCAGGTCAAGACGACAGATGCAGACTCGAAACTTGCCACTGCCGCAGAGAGCGGAGATTGGCAACCCGGAGGGGTCAAGGAAGAGGTCGCCCCCAAGGAGGACGGCGAGGACGTGGCAAATGCAAGCTTTGCGAGTGTTTGTCGTTTGTTGCATGCATGGTATGCTATAACTCAGCTGATTGGCGCTGTTTGGAGGAGGTCAGGATGGCAGAAGCGGGCTCGAAAGTGGCCAGTTCTGCTGTTCCCACACCTTCCGCGACAAGCCCCTTCGAAGGGCACCGACCAGAAGATCGCGACGAGCTTGCACGTGCACCTTGGCGCCGTCAGCTTCCGAAACCCAAAAGGCGAAGGACAAACGGACTGCAGCTTCCGCAACTGGGCTGCAAGTGGTTCGATGCTTCCTCGTCAGGGATATCACCGTTGAAGTCTCAGACACCAGTGCACAGGCAACGGCGGGTCAAAGAAGAGGTCGTGCCGGAGAAAGAGGAGGGTTGTGACTAGATGAGGTGTTCTGCAGTGCGTTTCGTTGCGTGTTTAAGGTACATGTCATGTCTTAGTTTACAGGTCCAATGGCATTGTTTGAAGGAGGTCAAGATGACGAATGCGGGCTCGAATGTTTCGGCTGCTGCTGCCCCTGCCGGGCAGCACCATATGTCGGTCCGACCGCAAGACCACCAAGAGCTTCCACCACCTTGGCGCCGTCGGACGATCAGACGGCAGCTTCGGCTTCAGCCACCAGGCGGCAACTAACGCAATGTGTTATTGTCAGGGATGTCACCATTGAAGTTTAAATACCGACAGTGTGCAGGCAGCTGCAGGTCAAGGAAGAGTTCTTGCCGGAGAAGGAGCAGGATATTGATTGGATGGTTTGTTCTGCAGTGCGTTTTGTAATGTGTATGAGGCAAATATCTGAGGATGTCTCAGCTTAGCAGCGAACTGGTCCTTTCCGAAGGAGATGAAATCGAAAGATGCGGAGGTTCAGGACCGTGTGTCGGTCCGGCCGCAAGCGCTTCAAGGCGCACCCTGGCGATGGCAGACTTCGAGAGACGCTGGAAAAAGGATGATGAAAACGCAGCTGGGGCGACCTAGCTGCACTGAAGTCCGTTGCATGAGCAAGCGCCGTCGTCTGGACTTTTATTAGGTCCGAGCATTTGGAGAGCTCAAGTTGCACCCCTTCTGGAAGTGCCGCCCAAGAGGCTACCAATTTGAAGTTTGTCTGGGACGTCGCTAAGCGTTGTTTCGTCAGGGTCAAAAACGGATCGCTGCCGTTGCAAGGCGATGTCGAAACGGCAGTGGAACTTGCTCTGAGCAGTGTCGAGATTTATTTCTTGTTGGTGGCATTCTCTGCAACACCGCTGTTTCGACAAAGCCGTAAGATTTGAATCACAGTTCTGCCTCTTTGCACACCTGGCGTTTTTCAAGTTTCGAAAGCTTGTAGCAATCACGAAAGCCTCACCTTGGACTTCAAGCCGAAGCTGAAGCCATGTGATCCGCCTTGACTACAGTATACAAGACGACTAAAAAGTTACTCCACCGTATGACATGGAAGAACCTCAGCCTAGCCCCTTAGCCCTAGTCTGAGAGCATGTGCCCGCGCTAAGTGCTGTTAATATCGGCGGCATTCCAGGGATAATTGCTTTGTTTGAAGAGTTGGTCAGTACATGTCAATAAGAAAGCGCCCGCTGCAAGCACTGAAGTCATCCAGCACGACAACTTCAAGTCCTTGACTCAGATTAGGAGCTGGACGTAGGGCGCCGGTGCATGGCGGCTCGGCGTTTGCGCGGGCGCTCGGACTTCTACACGCCTTCCGAAGATAAATCGGACTCATTATCGGACCTCCCTGGGGCTCAAGCAGGTCTTCTGAAGGCTCCCGACAAAATCAGAGAATCTCGTAGGCAGCTGCAGCATGAGCAGCCGCAGCAGCAGCAGCAGTGTCAGCGAAAAGCTAGCTCTGAACACCAGATAGAGACAGATTCAGGCAATACGTACAGGAGCAGTGATGCCGGCGATCCAGTAGTTACTATCGGACAGAAGGAGATAGTGGCTGCTCCCAGAATCAGAATCCAAAGAGCCAGGGAGTGCGCTTGCTGGTTTTCCTCACTGTTCGTATTCAAGAGGTTTCAGGGACAGCTAGACACACGCTCATGCAGCATACAAGCTCCTGGATGTGGAGGAGTTGATTGATAGGCAAGCTTGAGACAACTCCCAATAGTTTCGCTCGAGGCTTGCGCAGGCAGGGACCGCGGGAAGCTGCGCTTGCCTGTGATTGCCTCGACTTGCTCATCCAGCAGTTTACCACTCTAGAGCATGCCAGATATTGTAGTCGCCGTATTGTTACGAAGTGCCAGCAAGACGTTGCATGATGCAAGAACCCGGGACCTATGTGCGTTGGCCATATTTCGAAGGAAGGCTGTCCCTCAACATTTGCACGACGAATATACTGCAAAAGGATCTCGACACGAAACTTGACAAGTTACACGTTCAGTCATCTGTGAGCTGAAGTACTCGAGCTGGAGAGGCCCTCCCCGGGGCCCTTCGCAGGGATGGCGAGGACCACTGCACTGTCGGAAATGTCTATAAGCCGCAATTAAGGAGCAGCCATCGCACATCGAACTCAGGCACTTCGCCTGGACTGCGCAAGTTGTGAGAGTCGAATTGGAGCGCTCCTGGATGTCTACCTTGCTAGCTATTTTCTACCACTGGACTAAAAAATCCGAGAGAAAGGAGGGCGAAGGGGCCGCGAACTTGACTCAACTCCGCGTCCTCGAAGCTTGTGGCTGTGTGAGCTCGTTGCACAGGAGAGGCGACGCGGGCGGCCTCAGCTGGTTATCGCGGGGGGGGGGGGGGGGAAGCTCTTGTCAAAACGGTGCGTGCTGATCGCTGCGTGAATCGACTCGATTGTCAGAACTTGGCTGAAGGAAGGGGGCCCGGGGGGGGGGCCCGGGGCCGGGCCGGGCCGCGTTGCTTAAATCTCCTGAGGCCATGCCTCGCCGTCCCCGCCGCCGGACGGAGCGAATGGTGGCCTCATCCTACGGCCGGGCCCCGGAGCCGAAGGCCTGAGCCGAGCCCAGGGGCCCGGCCCGCCGGGTCTTCTTCTGGTTTTTTGAGTGGATTTCGTGAGAGAAGAGGGGGCTGCTATGAAATAGATTCCTCTTCCGATTGGTGTCAGTCGTGGTTTCAGGGGGTGGTGGCCCGGGGATAGTGCTAGTTGCTGTTGCTGAACATGCATCGAGAACTGCTTTGCTTGGCCGCCCTGGCTGCAGACCGCTCGTCCGAAAGCCGGGAGGGCGTCAAGGCGCACACAGGGTTTGGGATGGGATTACCCAGTGCTGCCATGCAGTTGCTGTGAGCTCACAGATGCGGTCTGCATGTATCATGTATCGATACAACATGTGTTTCAGCTGATTGCCACCGTAGCTCCTGCAAGCAAGCATCACAGCATATCACAGCCTTCCATGCTGGACATTAGCTTGCCAGCGGAAGCCTGCGTGAGTATTTCTTTGGGACTATTTGGTTCCCTAGCACTGTATGCGGGCGTGTTTGTGTGTGCGCGTGGTACGTTTTTGCTGACACCGCGAATCAGTGTGCAAAAGAAGCAGGTAACGCTAGCGCCCCGCGCCAATGTGTTAGCCTCGGAGCATCCCTGTGGAGGCGTTAGTGGTAGGGTTTCCTTAAGCTTGATCGTGCTCAGGCAATCTCCTTTCGGATTTAGATGTATTACAGGGACAGCTGCAGGCGTTAGAGAGGGTTGCAGCAAACAGCTGAATTTCCAGAAGAATGATTCGACAGCATTCTGATCTCGTGCTGAGCATGACACGGGGCATTCTGCTGGGCAGCCAGCTTGTCGGCCTTTGTGGTTAAGTTCGTCACAGTTTCCACCAACTTGATCAGCCCCGCCAAAACTGCAGCTACACTGCAGCTACACTTCGTGAGTTTCTCTTTACTGTGACCGGTGAAGCCCTTAACTTCACCGATCGTGGTGGCTTAGGCGCAGGCCTCATCGGCCATTATGCTGCGGCGCCGCGACTCAAGGAATCGGATGTCACATGGCAGCGTGTCTGTACGGCAGTCGAAACAGACCCGTGGCAGAAGAAGGCATTTGCAAGCGCTTTCCGATATGCCCTTTCTTTATGCAGGGAGGATGCGCCACAGTCGTCTGCTACGAGCCTCAAGGCTGCTGACCACAGGAGATTGCTTTGAAGCTGGAACAGTGCAAATAGATAGTGTACAGTGGCAGCAATGGCAGCAATGAGCAACCACGCATCAACCTGCAAGTCGATACTTGCGCGCAGCATGCATAGGAACGGTTCAATGTGGATCCAAACATATGTGGTCAATACTTCGACACGTGACTGAATATTCCACTCTCTCCTTGAGTAAAGTGCTGAGATGTAGCGTGCGTACCTCAGGCGCAAAGGAATATACATACAACGCACATGAAAGCATGCTCATTGTTTTCGTACAGCACAGCAGCAGTAGAGCAGTCGATTCTTCCATCACACCGAATTCGCAACAGTGCAGCTTGAGCAAGGATGCCGTCCGGTACGAATATATACGTATCTGCATTCTCTACATTCCCAAGAGTTGTGGCAGGCGGTCTTTTTTGCCTGGCCTTGCCTCGGGTGAACAGGCTCCGGCACGAGCTCGGCTGTCTCGGCGAGAGCGGCCCGTTGCGCGGAGTTCTGAGAAGGGAACGTTGGGCTTTTGGCTTTTCGGCTATTGTAGCAACTGGGGGCAGCTTTCGGCCTTCCTTGATTGGCTGAGTCAAGGTCGCATCAGGGAGACATGAGCCACATTCGGACTCCAAAGCCATCTTTGCAGTGCACAGCCGTTTGCGAGAGACAACGTACCTGCTTTTCTGCTCCAGGCGACTGCAAGCATGGGACGACAGGGGGCATCGGAGAGTGATCCAGGCAGCGATTGCATGAACGCTAGCTATATGTTGTCTGTGCCGCTCCTCCTTCCTGGAGCTGTTTTTCTTGTCGTTTTAAACCTGTACACAGTGTATCAGAAGACCGCCGCTTGCCTTAGCTTCGTACCTTGCAACCCTCGCCATCAAAGACTTTCCCATGAGTGCTGACCGCGGAGGAGCGCAGTGACTCAGAGTCCGAGTCGGAGGAAGCAGAGGCTCCCGGTCTCTTGGTTCGGAGTTTGGATTCGTGGGAGGGCCATGGGTAGGATTGGTGTTTGGGGCTAAGAGTTCGGCAGGCACGGCTGCAAGAATCATGACCGCTTAGCCGCGCTAATCTCGTGCCAGTATGGTAGGTTGCTGAGTCTAGATTCAGCCGAACTCAACCGTGTAGGAGTGTCATCTGAAATATGATAATTAGTTTCACGAGTTGCATGTTGCCGGTGCATGCAGCGATCAACACCCCAGGGAGTGTACATGCACAGATATGAGGATGTTTGTGCATGTGCGCACACACACACACACACACACATCTCTCGTTCTCTCTCCCTCCCTAGCTTTCTCGCTCTCTCTGTCTGTCTAGCTGTCTATCTGTCTGTCTCTCTGCCTATGTGTGTATCTCTCTGTCTGGCTGTCTGTCTGTTCTGTCTCTCTGTCTCCCTGTCTCTCTGTGTCTCTGTGTCTCTCTCTGTCTTTCTCTCCCAAGCTCGAGCTCGTACCCCCCCTCCCCCGCTCTCTCTCTCACTCTCTCTCTCTCTCTCTCTGTCTCTCTTTCTCTCTTTCTCTCTCTCTCTCTGTCTCTCTCTCTCGCTTTTTATGTTTGTCTGGGTTGGTTGTTCTCTCTCCCTCCCTCCCTCCCTCCCTTGTTGCGGCCCGTTCTGTATGTTACCCTTGTTCCTGGATAGGCTTTCCTGTCAGGTGTTAGGACTGGAGTGGGAGAACACTTTTGGGCCAGGAAGAGCGGGATCGGGACATCGACGTCGAGTCAGAGTCAGAGGAGTCAGAGCAGGACGTTTTCATGGGTTAAGTTGAGGGCTCCCGAATGAAGACTCGCCCTGACCCTATGCAGACGGTTCCAAGTCTTGTATAGGACTTCGTAACTCGAGCCTTGAAGTACCGTTCTCGCGAGAGGAAGAGATCGATGTTGACGGACCCGTGGACGTCGACAAGGATGATGACGAGGAGGCTTCGTAAGACTCTTGTCTGCTCGTTTGGGGGACTGGTGTAGCAGAAGATAGCTTGCCGCCTTCCGGCACAGCACAGGGCTGACGTTTTTGATGAAGCCAGTCCACAAGCACGGCCAGACCTGCCAGGACTCGGAAGAGGACCTCGAGATGGATAGGGCCCATGACCGCGACCAGGAGAGACGAAGGCCACCACCATGAAAAGTTGGTTATGCGACAGAGACTGGCCAAATCCTTTGCATGGCACCTTGTGCTACCGTGACGACAGATGCCAGCATAACTATGCCAATGATTGATGACACGAATGTTCTTCTTCGTAGATGGCTGTTGTTACAGGTCCAGACAGGTCTTGTCTCTTGCCAGGCATCAGCCAGGCGTTGCGGAGCTTGCAAGGCGGCTGGCTGTCCTTGCAGGGTCTTCCTAATTTCACTGGCGATCTCCCCGTGATGTGGCGAGTGTGTGTGTCGCCGGATCCGAGACCCGCTGCATGTTCGGACGTTCTGGCTCCAGTCGGAGGTCTCCAATGCACAGTAGAGTTACTAGGCACATCGACAGCATGCTCGCAGATCGTGACGACGTGGGCCCATGCAATTCAGCGCTGACCAACGAGACCCAACTAGGCGCGATAGAAGGGCGCCCCCTGCGCATGGAGGTTGTGAGCCCCTGCGGTTACCCCTTTTGAAGAACTTTGAAGCCGCTATGGGTGTTGGGACCGCTCCGCAAGAGCTGGAGCTGACGACTGTCTACGGCCGCACGCCGCAGGCGTCTGCTTTCTGCTTTGTGTCCGCGCTCAACGCCAAAGGCATGTACGGAGCTCAGCGCAGCTGAGGAGCTCCCCCAGCAGGCGGAACGCACCATCAACCGATTCTACGAGGCCCTGAGATGCGAGTTTCAGGATGTTTCAGGCTTGGGACTAGCTGCCCCGGTCAGTTGCAGACCGGACGTTGTGCATTTCGCCTACCCAACCAATTATGTGACAGACTTAAGCTGGGGGACAGTCTGCGTCCCATGTTTTTTTTGCTCGGAGGCCCAGAGTACGAAGTACCTGCGCGAGCGGGAACGGTTGCAGCGTGTTGGCTGCCTGAAAAAGCCGTCGGCAAGGTGGAACAAGCAGGACCCGCGGGTTCTCGGATTCTATAGGTTAGGTTTCGAGGGGCTTGGGCAAGCAATCTTGGTGATGAGACGTAGACCCAGTAGCTGGTTGGAGTCTGTCATGATTGCTTGCAACGATCCAGTGGGATGCCATAGACTTGCTGTCTCATCCAGTCTCTCTGAGTCCGAGGGTGTGCACTTGCGAGGGCCGGCCTCTAAGCTACATGGAAACAAAGAGAGCCGACGCAGTCGCAACCCGCCTCTCGCGGCCTGGCACACGTGCTTGCACGCGTCGCAGCATGGGGTCGGCCATGCCAGGCTTGTCTCAGCTGAGTCTGTGATGTTCAGCGTCAGAACCACGCGCCACTTTGTAGAGGATGCCCTGCCCAAGCCGTCAAGGAAGGGAAAGCGGGGCCCTCGTTAAATTCTACCTGGCGAGGAGTTGTATTTGAACTCGGAGCGTCTGGGCACTGCGAAAGATGCCAGCGGCCCGCCTTCCTTATGAGAGCGCTGGCTTGATACAGAGTTGGTCCACGCAGCGAGGTGTGTTCGGCATCGAGTAGAAACGTCCCAGGACAACGTCTTTATAAAGGGCTCTCGAGTCTAGTTCTGCCTCATTAACCACTGGCGGAATGCTGGAACATGATGCTGCATGTCAAGAGTCTGCATGTTATGATCATTATGTCATAACACCGGAAAGACACATCGCAAGACATCAACTAGCTTGTGCTGCCGGTGGCAAGGTCCAACAACTCTCTCCCGCTGACATTTTGATTTTGCGTATCATGCACATCCCAGGTCGGCAGCACTTGCTGCGGCACCCGCAGCTCTTTTCAGGCCACCAGCGCCTGCAGCAGGCAGAGCTGTCGCAGCCTTAGCAGTGAGAGGCGTCAAGAATTGTCAGTGTGCTAAAGTTCCTTTTGGCATGTCACGCCGAAGTTGTGAATGCATGGGCGGTGTCCAAATCTTCGAAAGCCTAGCCTCAGCATGCCTCAGCCTCCCAGCGCCTGCGAAATTCCTATTCCGAGGCTGGAGCTCCTGGCGATGCAGTGCCTCGGCTAAGGGTGGAACTTTAGACCACGGGGCAAGGCAGAGTCAAGGCAGGACGGGATCTTCAACGAAGGCCTCGCTAGCCTGCGACGTTTTTTCAAGCACCAGCTTGATGTTAAGTGAAAACGGACCCCAGGATCTCAGGACCTCTGAGCCCCTGTGCAGTGAAGCAGACATTGCGTGCTGACGAATTTTGAGGCATTTCCTCTGGATCGACCTTGCAGACCTGGATGCAGATCCAGCAGCACGCTGTAGCGAGGATCGGTTCACAGGACTGGGCTGCGGACATACGGGCCTGCTGATGGATTTGACAGTGTCGAGCACCGTGCATGTCACGAGGCAGCCCCGTCTTTATGCTTGTTAACCGGGCAGGCTACTCTCCCACAGGACGCATGCTCAAAAACCTGCTCGAATTCACACGGTTTCTGGTGCAGCGCACAGTCCCCGTGTAAATAAGCCCAACACAGGCACCAGCCTGAGTTCACAGGACACCAGCTCGAATTTACCCGATTTCTGATGCAGCGCACGTTGCCTTTGTAAAAAAGCTCAAAACAGGCACTAGCTTATGAGACGGGCAGAGTTGCAGGATCGTCACAGATGCACGCAGATATGTCTGCACATGCTCAGTTCCCGTTCGATTGAGTCATTCATTCGTTCATCGATTCACTTATGACGCACTCATTTGCTCATGTGCTCATTGGTTCGTGCGGTTCATGCCTTAATGACGATTGCGGAAAGGCAGCCCACGTTGCTTGGCTGAGTGCACCCAAGCCGACTCACTCACTCCACGCCACTCCACCCTCCACTCTCACACGGTTCATTCAATCACCCGCTCACCGCTCACTCGTTCACCTGGCTCACCTCACTCACTCCACTCACACTCTCACTCTATTGCAGGCAGACTGAATCTCAGGCTCCTTTGCAGTGGCAACAAGGCACCCCTTTCTGAGCTTCGGCAGGCCCTGAAAACTCAGTCTGCGAGCAGCTGCTGCTCGATGCCCCGCGCGAGCTTTTTGTCATTGTTGCTTGGCTCCAGTCTGCTCAGCATCTGCTGCATTGGTTTGCTTGAGCAGAGCTAAGCAGCTAGTTGACTGCTCACAACACCAGCTCACGACAGCTCAGGACGGGGTGGAGTACGACTTTGCCTCCACCGTTCGGGGCCAGTCGGACGTCAACGGCCACTGATCTGCAATGCGCCCGCTGCCAACCTGTGTGCTACCTTACTTCTTCACCGATCAGCTCACAGCGACCCCTGCGGTCAGGAAACGATTTGGAGCTGATGAAGTCAGACTTCTGTGAGACTAAGCCGCACAAGCAACCCCGAAGAGTGATTTGGTTCGGTTGGACCGGACATGGCGAGAAAGCATTGGAGCTCAATTCGTTCGCTGTGCGTTAGCTCGCTCGATTCCTGGGTTTCTTGCCCCGGCGATCAACGAGCTAGTCCCAAGTCCGTGTGTTCAATCGACGTCTACGTGGTTCATAAAATGATCTGCCCAGAACTTCACTGCAGGGTCATCCCAGTTATGTCTGTGCATAGCACAGGCGAAGCGAAAGTGAGCGCTGCAAGCTCAAACCCGTAGGTGCCAGGTTACGCCAGGTTGGTCGAGACTGGTGGATGGTTTGCCGTTAAGCGGGGGGTTTGGCGGTAGGGACCTCCTGTGCGTGGTGAATCTCCAGCCCTGCATCATCCTAAATCTTGCTGGAATTCCGAGTTGCGGGCGTCCAAATCCTGCTGCGCTTAGGATCGAGTCGTCTCAGCCATTTCGCGCTGCTTGGGCGCGCAACGGAAGCAGCTAATGCGAGCGGTGCCGGGGCTTCAAGCAATTCAGCAGGGATGCTGTCGCAGTGCGTGTCAGCCAGAAGCTCTCACTGCACTGCCCTGTCTTCAGAAAGTGGAGTTCAAGCTTGCAGGTGACTTCCGCACTTTCACAGTCGGGGCTGGCCCATTTGGAGGCCAGGACAGGGAAAGGCCAAGGGTTGAGGTCAGAGGACATTCCGGAAGGCTCAATAGCCTCGATTGAAGTTGTGCCCCTGCAGCTTCTGTATGCTGCATGGGGCTTCGTGCCCCAAATCTTGAACAATTGGTGCATGAACAAAACTCGTGGAGAAGCGCAGAGAAGTGTGGATCTCTGCCACCACTCGCACTTGCCGGGAGGCTGCCTCGGCCGCTCTTCAAGTGGCAGCAGCTCCGCTGCAACTCCCTGGGCTGTTGATACAGAGGTTGTCTGTGCACCCAATTCCAGTCCAGTCCTATGGCCTGTGGCACGCTCCCTGGCCATACATGGGAACAGTAAGTCTTTGAGAGAAAGCTAAGGTAAGTGGTGGAGAGCAGGACGTGCGGCAGCTGTGCTGCATTGACTTGCCGCAATCCCCGAAATTCGAGACAGGCTCTTTGTTGCGGTAATTGCAGTGGACACCTGGTGACTTCCTGCACATGCTGTCGGAGGCTTGTTTCATGTGCGTTCTTGACTCCCGCCCATGCAAGGTTCGAGCTCCGTGCCTTGCCAGTGAAAAGTTTCGGGTTTCAGGGTTGTCAGGAACGCATGAGGAAGCCATGGCCAAACTCACAGGTGCATCAGGCGGAGAGAATATTTCCTGAAGATTTGGAAGATCCTGCAAAGCCCACCTGAGCCCAAATCGGCTGCCCAGACCATGCCTTAGCTTCCAGTACCTTTCGAGGTAGCCTTTCAGCGGATGGGCCCTGGGAGGTGGAACTTTATGTCAGAAAGGCCGGCATGCGGTGGCGCGTCGTTGTTCATCGTACTGTCTGCTGTCTTTGAGACTTTGAGATCGTTAATCAGGAACGGAGCCGCCAGCCCAAGCCTCGCCTGAAAGTCCTGCGGCCAGCGAAAGTAAGTAAGTAAGTCCAAGTAAGTAAGTAAATAAGTAAGTAAGTGTGCGTGTGTTTGCCTCCCCGCTGCAAGGGACAGCGTTTCACGGCGTTTCGAGGGTAGGTGGGTGAGCCTTGGGTGATTGAATGCATAATTTTAGAGGTGTCTTTGTCTTCAACAGCTACTGGTGTGTAGACGCCTTTCTACAGACCCGAGGTCACTTGATTTCGTAGTTTAATTGGGTACAGGATAACAAGGGGCAGGAGAAAACTTATGGTACGGAAGCAGGCCCCAGGTTTGGTTGTTGGGGGAGTTTCGGATGATGGGGAACGTCGTCAAAATGAAGCGTTCCGCAAAACAGCAACTAAACCCTCCTATTGTTCTTGCTTACGACTACTACTGTACTGTACCACTACACTGCCACTTTACCGTTGCTGTATTGTACTGTACTACTGCTGTACCCACCTCTAAAGAGCTAGCCTCGTCCCCAGCTGGGGGCATGGCGCAAGGAGCACACCATTCAATGTAAGGGGCGCAGGGGGGCAGGGCCTTCTTGGGATGTTCTAGTGGCATTGGCGCCAGTCTCTGGACAAAGCCCTGCGGAAGGCAAACTTCCACCAGTGCATCGTTTACGAGTCCCCGTCCGGCTCTATGCCCGAAGCAGCCGAAGCCGCGGACCCGCTTGCCATAGACTCCCATCCCCGTGCTCGAAAGCCAACTGGATTACGTCCTTGCATTCCTGTTTCTAGTGCTTTGGTTTGATCCTTCTGCTGCCGAAGCTTTTCAGGGGTGCCATTCTAAGTCTGTGCCTCTGACGAAGCAACGCGGTGCCGCAGGAGTCCAGCCCTCGCACTTGCAGCCCATCCTCCTTCTTCACCAAATCTTGCCGTGCCTCTGCTGATCGGAATCTGATAGAATTCTGGGGACTTGGTGCAGTCAGAGCTGCAGAGCGCTGTAGAGCCTTGCTTCAAACAAGAGACTTTGCGACAGACCTTGAGAGCCGACCTCCAATTTTGGAACTTCGTGCATAATGGCTGCCTACGACAGCTAGGAACATGTGCCGCGCTCACGATGTGCACCAAGGCATCCGCTACTCTGACACTTGTTTGCAACTGCACGACGGCTCGCATCTGTCAAATGACAATTCCCGAGCTCGAGTCCCGGACGGTTTGCTCGCGACCGGTGCTGAGGAAACGGGCGCCGACACGGTGATGCTCGAGACGTGACAAGTTCAGACTGGAGCGGATAGCTCGGTAAAGTTGTGAGAGGACGACCTTTCCTGGATACGCCTTTTTGCGCGCAACTTTCTAACGGGTTCTTGTGCCCTGTCCACAGCGGCACACAGAGCAAAGTCATATCTTTGCCAGACCCCACAGACCACAAATACAAAAAGCTTGGAAGTCCGAGCGATAGAAGCTAGTCGCAGCCACTGCATCTGAGGATGTTCTCAGCTTGCATCACGAGCATCATCTCATCGATGCAGCCGGGCAGCCTTTGCTCAGCTCTGGCTTCCCTGACCCTTGGAAGAATCACTCGAAATGCCTTTTACGGTTATCATGCTACTCAGGATGATGATGCTAGCAAGGGCGGGGATGCTGACGATATGAGTCTGGTACGTTTGCCGGTGCTGCTAGAAAGTGGGGTGCATTCGACACGGGGCTTTGCCATTTGGGGTGCGGCGCCGAATGCTCATCCGATTCTCATGCTTTGATGCACTGAGCATGCGGTGAGCCGGTGGGGTAACAGTGAGCAAGAAGGGGAGACATGGCTAGTGAATCTGGTAGATCGCATCTCATTCCGAGGGTTGTCCTTGCCGGTGCCTTCCTCCACTGGTTCTACGCCGCTTCATCGCCCGGGCGTGTGCCTGGTGGCGGCAGCGCTTGCACCGGCTGCGCGGCATCAAAGACAGCGTGGACTAATGAAACAGCCCAGAGGTGGAGGAGTTCCAAAAGCAACGCCCTCCGGCATCCATTCTGTTGCGGGTTTGGAGTGCAAAGGCCCCAAGCCTAGTGATTGCCAGAGTCTGCATGGCTGGCGCCAAAAGGGTGCCTAGCCGGCCTAGGCCAGGCCATCTTGTCCATAGTGGCAGGTATTTCGGCCTCCCGGATCCTGGGAGTTTCCTGCTTCCGCCGAAAAATGCCCGAGTGCCCACTGCGGACGGGTTCTCGTTGCTCTGGGTGAGCTGCAGGCTCGCCGGAGTCGGGAGGCCACCGTCTCCAATTCCGAAGGTCGTGGCCCAAGCAGGTTCGATGAAACGCCGGGCAAGGGAGCCCCGGGTCGAAAGCTGGTTGTGCTCGTCGCACGCGTTCACGAATCATGGTGAAGAGTTCTTTGTAAACGAAGACCATTTTAGCTTCTTGGGGGGGGCGGGCTCTTGAAGATGTTTCCAGACGAGGCTCGTCAACCTTTCATAAAAGCCGCGCATGGCTGATGCACCCACAAACAAAGCAGTTGAGGCCCGAAGCTTTTTGGTAACATCTCTTCGACAACACCGCCGGTGATGAAAGCACTGGTGATCAAACCTAGCCCCAAGTCGAGAGAACACGCCCAAATCAGTCCTGAGACGCCGCTCGCATGGGAGAACTGCCTTCGAAGGGAAGAGGCAACAACCGGAGACCAACAAAGGTGAAACACAAGGAGTATTTTCGAGGTTGATACTTGTCAGCCCTCAAGAGTAATGAAACAGATGGTTTCTATTGACCACATGCGTCATGGTACGCTTCGTAATCGTACATAGGGAACGGTTTAGGGGACGCTTCCGGGGTACATCGGGGACGCTTCGAGGGTACATAGGGGACGGCTCGAGGGTACATAGGGGACGCTTCGAGGGTACATATAGGGGGCGCTTCGCGGGTACCTGTACCATCGGACCGTGCTCTATGTACCATCGTACCGTACCACATTTAGCATGACATGGACCCCATTTAGCATGACATATGTTATGCTAATTGGGGTCCATGTCATGCTAAATGGGGTACGGTACGATGGTACATAGGGTACGGTACATGGTACGGTACAGTGGTACACATGTCATGCGTACCGTACCTGTTGTACCGTACCATGCGTACCCCTTATACCGTACCATGCGTACCCCTTGTACCGTACCATGCGTGCCTCATGTACCGTACCATCGTCCTGGGTCCTGGCATATGCAATAGAGCATTACTCTTGAAGTTAGATAAGTTGATACTTGAAGGTGCTAGACACCTGAACAGTTGGTGAAAACAAGAAGGACGAACGTCGCAAAAGTACGGCGGTGCGATTCGCCACAGATTCTTGCTGTGGAAACCAGCAGCTGCTAAATCCTTCAATGAGGAAGCCAAAAGCTGCTGTGATAGATGTGCCCCTATAATGAGACGCAGCAACCAACTTTTCCGTAAGGAATCGCTGCAGCAAAGCATCACTGAGTTTTTTCAGTATTAATGCCTTTCGGAAAGCATGCGCGGTTTCATGTGCAGCATCATTTGCGAGTGCATCGTATAACGCAGCCACCTTTCCAAAGCTCCCTACCGTAGTTATGGTTTCCTGATTCCTCCGCAAACGTTTGGGGCAACATTTTTCGTGTGACTCAATTGTTGAAAAATAAAAATTTTCAGTAGCAAATAGTGTTAAAATGAAAAACAAAAATTTTCAACACGAAGATTCTGATCAAATTTTGAAGCATCTTTCCGAGTAAAACGTTGCAACCAGAATCCGAGAAATCCTAACCGTCAACCCTAGCCCCCTTCATTGAAAGAAGAGGCACCACATATATTGATGGAGTCAGGGGAGTACGATTCTTCACCATGATTCGTGAATGCATGCAGCTGGCGAGAACAACCAAATACGTCGCAATGCTTTCACGCGCTTCCAAGACGAGACTGTGTTTAGGGGTTCGATTCCTCAAGGACGGGTGGGATAAGGTGCTCTCGCGTGGATGTCCGTTGTGTACAAATGAGCTGCTCGTGAAATGTTCGCCCAGTGTCCTGAATCATGCCTCCCACGATGTTCCAATAGTGTCCACATCAACTTTTGGTGGTCCTAGAGATGGAGGGAAGGTGCATGCGTTGTAACCACCTTGCATACGTTTGAGGGAGAGTTTCTTTGCATGCCAGGCGCGAGAAAGTCCTGCGGCACCGGCTAGGCAGCGGTTGCTGATAGTGTGGGAAGATGCGGAGATTCTCACCCTTTGACCTAATGCAATCCAGTCTTGTGTCCGACAAAAGAGGGACTTGAGACCGTTAATGACCCCAGTCGACAGGTATGCAGCCGTGGAGAGCTACAGTGAGGAGGACGCTTCGCTGGATTTCTTTGGGTGTGCACTTCAGAAAACAATAGAAGGCGCTTTTGTCTGCTTGCTTGGCCTGCGGGATAGGGATGAAAGCCTCGAGTCCGGAGCATCACCTTTGGCAAAAGGACGACGTCGAAGCCGAAGCTGCGGAAGGCGATGCTGATGGCATGGATGACGAAGATGAGCAGGAGGATGACGATGACGAGGACACACAGAGTTTTCCACGATAGTGACGTGTCACGTCTGTCGGCCGGAGGTCTCACTGCATGCTGTTTCCGATAATCCTCTCCGAGAGGAATCGTCCAGTTCCCCTGAACAAGTACCCTCTCCGCGCTCCAGAAGAAAGGACAAAAAGGAGGACCGTGATGTCGATTTGAGTTTTTGATTCACTTCCACGTGAGGCTGTAAGGCAGGTGGATCCAGCTTGTCAGCAAAACCAAAGGCCGCAAAGCCGTCGTAGCTAATGCAAAGTGCCACGGCCTGGTCACAAGAATGTCCTTTAACTGCCTTGGAATCCTGAAAGGAAGTTTCGCAGTTTTGAAAAGCCGATGTCAGCCCGCGATCTGCAGACGCTGCCAGCAAACAGGAGGAGGAGCGTCGCCGTCGACAGGACGCAGCTGCCGCAGCTGCGCTCTTGCTGCACAGCAGAGTTTTGCATATCATCTAACATTAAGACAATTACACAAACGGTGTGGGACACACTATGGGGTCCGCTGGGTACCGTGTCCCGAAGAGCCAGTTTCATTGTATATTCGAAGCATGGCCCACCTTTTGTTCTGAAAAGTCTACATCCCGCCAGTACTTGGAGGAATGCATGTTGGCCACCCTTCTGAATCCCGCCGGTGCAGCCATAAGGCAAGCACAGGTGCCGTGCTCGCCAACTCGCCAATCCCGACAGTAAATGGTGGAAAGCACGGTGAGCGTTCCTGAACCACTCCCCGAGTACTTGGGGGAAGCACTTTGGCAGCAGTGTCCTGGTGTTCTGCGGTCTCCTGCTGGCTTCCTCGCAGTGATCCCGTGGTGGGTCTCAAGGTGGTTTCCCGGTGGTCTCTGGTGGTCTCTGGGTGGTTTTCCTGAACCTTCGTGGTGGTCTCCTGGTGGATCGTCCTGGGTCGAAGTGGTCGTCGTGCTTCTCCTGGTGGTCGTGGCAGTCTTGGTCGTTTGTGCTGCCCTGTCACCGTTTGGGGTCTATACTGGCAATTACTGGCATATTGTGACATTCTCGTGCATGTTTTTCGGGGTCTGACTTGTCAATGATCATTAGCACGCACTGCCTGCACATGTCATGTGCTTGCATGAAGTGCAGGCCGCCAAAGCTGCAGAATCCAAGAAGGCTCAGAAGGCCTGTGCTGTGAGTGGGCAGACACCCTTTCTTGGGCTTACAGTAGCGGACCATTGCCTTGGGCTTGAACGGTTGCTCGGCTTTCTTGAGCTGCCGGGTGTGTTTTGCAGTTCTCGTAGATAGCTTCGCTGCGGCAAAGGCATCCAAAGGGCCGGGTCAGGGTGTCGGGCTGGCTGCTCAAGCGGCTGGCCGCACGGCAGTGTTTTGTCGCGCGCGATGCGTTATCACGCCATGGGAGGGGCCAGTCTGCGGACCCTTTGCCTAGCAGGAGCTTTCGCCCTGCTTCGCAAATTCTTGGGAACACACTCAATTGGGTTCGGTGCTGCTCTGCCACAGGACGCGCGCAACGAATCAAACGGTGCCAGCGCAGGACGCCCGCGTATGGGCAGCAGGTTTTATACATCAGCGGCAGGACAATCGTCGACGGACTATGGCTTAACGAAGGGAGAATCCAAGCTCTTGGCCAAGGTGGTACAGGCAGCAAATCGCAGTGACTGGCAAAGGATCCGGCAACTTCGCGCAACCAGCAAGGTCTTGAAGACACCTTTCTTCGATGTGGAGATGAATGCAGCCCTTGCTTGTGGGCAGTATAAAGCTGGCATAGCACTGTATGAGCAGCTCTGCAAGCTTGAGCTGCCAAAAGAAGTTCTCACATTCAACCTGGCCATGAAGCTTTACGGAAAGGCGGGTTTGTGGCCATCTGTGCAGCAAGTCTGGAAGGAAGCCAGGCAGTCTTATCGCATGGATGAGACGATGGCAGCTGCTCGTCTCGTCGCAGCAGCGGATGAAGGGGACATCCGCACGGCAGCCGACATCTTGGACGAAATGGTGAGGATGGATCTCGTGGTGGATGTCGGGCACTTTACATCCGCGCTTCGTGCCTGCACGACTGCTGAGAGCAGTGGCTATAATGTTGCAGTTTTCCTTTTCGACACCATGTGCAACATGTCATTAACCCCCGATGTGCAGGTCTTCACTGCACTTGTGTCGACTTTTGCCGGGCGACCGGTGACCAAGTTCCAGACGCTACGCAGTCAAATGGATCAGTTCGGCGTGCAGCACAACTGGGTTTTCGCTGATGCTTACTTGAAGGCTTTGCTCTCGGTGGCACAAAAACACAAGCAATCCTCAGTCGCGGAACTTGTGGACTTGATGAGCGGGTTATCCAAACAGCACTTGCAGGAAGCGGCCAGCGCGCTATCCACTTTCAAAACTTCAAAGGGTGAGTGGTCTGCTTTTTGCGAAGTTACGGAATCGGCCTTGAAACGTCAAGGCATTCGCCTCTGACGGTCTCTTGCGGTTCAGAGGTCACGGCCTGCACTCCAATTGAATCGTTTGGTTCAAAGCAGCCGAATCGGTCTGGACCCTTTCGCTGATGTTTCTGGTCCAGGAAAGGATCCTTGCAAACAAGCCTCGTGAAACCACGACGGTTCTGGCAAGCCAAGCAGATCTACCCTTTCTCGAGAGAAGCAGGCCCACCAGGCTCTCCTGTTCCCGCCAGGAGAAGTTGTCAAAGCCTGCCACTGCACAGCCTCTCGGCATGCACCTTGCAATGCGGCAGGCGCAACATCCGCAGTGCCAAGCCGTGCAATCGCTTTGCAGCTGCCGCAGCAATCAAGTAAAAGCACCGTTCCGAGGTCAGAGAAGAGCGAGTCGCTTCGAAAGCCAGAGGCCAGTTCGAAACCAAAGGGCTTGCCACGGAGCTGTACGATGTCCAGGGTGGGGTATGGCCTTTCGTGTTTCAGCTTCAGGAGAAGTCGCGGGATCGCGATGGCCGTGAAAGGGCCAGGCGAAGCCAGGCCTCCCATGCGGAGGAGAGGATGAAGGAGAAGCAGAGGGAGGCCAGGGACAAGGAGAAGATGCAGGAGAAGGAGCATGAGAAGGCTCAACAGAAAAAGAAAAAGAAGGGCAGAGAACCGGCGGCCAATAATGAGGGCTCCCGGAGAGATGCTTCAGCGGGAATGGAGCGATCGCGCGAAAAGGCGCCTTCCACCGCAAAGGATGAAGCTCAGAAGGAGAGTAGGCGAAAAGAGAAGGCAAGCAGAGATGATAAGAGTCGACGAAAGGAGGAGAAGGAGGCAGCAGATCGCGAGGAGAGCAGGAAGCAAGAGGAGGCAAGGGCTGCGAAGCAGAAGGAGAAAGAGCGTGAGGCGAAAAAGCGCGAGGAGGAAGAACGCCGCGAAAGAGCTCGCAAGGAAGAGGAGGAGCGAAGAAGAGAACAGGAAAAGGAGGAGGAAAGAAGGCGGGAAAAGGAACGTGAAGAAGAGAGGAGACGCGAGAAGGAACGTGAGGAAGAGAAGCAGCGCGAGAAGCAGCGATTGGAGGAAGAGCTGCGCCGGGAGCGCGAGCGACGAGAGCGGGAGGAAGAGAAACGACGGGAAAAGGAACGGGCCGAGCGTGAAGAACGAGAGGAGAGGGAAAGAAGGAGAGAACAAGAAAGGGAAGAGGAAAGGAGACGAGAAAAGGAGAGGCAGGAGCGGGAGGACAAGCGCCGGGACGAGGAGCGGCGAGAGAAGGAGCGCGAACAGAAGAGACGAGAAAAGGAGAGGGAGGAGGAGAGGAGACGTGAGAAGGACCGAGAGGAGGAGAGGAGACGTGAAAAGGATCGCGAGGAGGAGCGAAGACGAGAGAAGGACCGCGATGACGACAGGCGTCGAGACCGCGAGGACGAACGGAGACGTGACGCGGGTCGTGATGACAGACGCCGAGACAAGGACAGGGAGGATGATCGCCGACGAGACAAGGACCGAGACAACGAGCATCGCCGGGACAGAGATCGTCACGAAGAAAGAGATAGGCATGAAAAGGATCGCGACAAAGATCGTGACAAGGACAAGTATCGCGAAAAGGACAGAGGCCGCGAAAGGGAGCGATCACGCGACCGTGACGACAGAGAGCGAGAACGGGACCGTGACCGCGAAAAGGACACTGGCCGCGACAGGGACCGCTCCAAGCCAAGAGAAAGGGAACGCTCCAAGCAGCGAGATCGATCGAGGCCAAGAGACAGGGAAAGAGACAGGGATGATCGCGACAGAACTCGACATGCCTGGGACTGAGTCGCGGTGGGCTTGATTGGAAGCTGAACTTGCTAGCCCGTTGCTCAGGACAATGAAAGAGACACGAGAAACAAAGACAGAGCAAAAGAAAGGGAACGAGAACGTGAAAGAGACAAAGATCGGGCCAGGGAAAGGGAGAGAGAAAGAGATCGCGACAGGGCCACGTCCTCAGTGACATATGATTTGCTTGGGGCACGTTTGAGTTGCTGCTTTTGTGATGCATTCGGCAGACTCTGGTCAGTTCGGCTGCCCAGGATGCAGATGATCGCAGAAAAAAGGACGGCCAGCGACACGAGAACGGCAGCAAGAAGGCCAATTCGTTGTATGCACGTTGGATTCTGACGGGGGCAAGCCTTCGAACCGGCTGTACTTGTCCGAAACGTCTTGTTTGCAGAAAGCTGGAACTGTATCGGGCAGAGTGCTGGCCAGATGACGTTTCGAGAAGTGCTGGCGGAACAGTCTCACAAGCAAAATCCAGCCAGAGGCCTGAAACAACGTTTCCAGACCGTGTAACAGCATTGGTTTGGATTTTTGGAGGGACGGTAAACAACTTTTGCGGCTTACGGGTTTCTTGAGACAACTGGTCGGCTTTGTGAGGGCAGAGGTTTGGTTTATGTTCCTCGAGGCAGAACGCCGTCCGAGAGTGGCAAGGACACTCACTTTGCAATGGGTTCTAGGACCAAGGAACAGTGCCAAAAGCGAGCAACAGGGCCGACGTACCGGAACAGTTGTCAACTTCCAGTTCCTTTGGGATCCAGCTTCGCTTTGCTTCGACGGCCAGCGGCCAGGCGCGCTCTGTGACCCCGCTCCCCGGGAGGCGGCGGGCTCAAGAGCAGTGGAAGCGCTTTCAGATAGTGTTCGGCAGCGGTGCCGATGCGATGTCAAGAATCTACAATCGGCCTTCGAGGACTCAGCCGCCGCCTGCTTCGGATGCTGATGGCATTGGCCCCAGCAGGGACAGCCATGATTCCGTCGTCATTCTTGGCAGGCGCGGCAAGCATGTGAATTTCAACAGTGGGGGCCTGCAGGTTCTCCGGTCTTTTCAGTTTGAGGTGCGGCGTTTCCGCCGCCACTGCCCACTTCAGATCGCAAAGGTGCGGCCGGGTTGACCGTGTGGCTCCATGATCTTGCAAAGGGGGCGACGGTTTTTATTCTTCCTGCTGCTCACGATGATATTCACTCCTTTTCCAGGGGCTAACCCTCAGCAGTTTCTGCGACAAATTGCACCTTGCAGGTGGGGTTGTAGGGCATTCACTCCGGTGAGTGCAGCTGTGGCCTGATGACTTAATGATGCTGTCCAGTTCAAGCCATACTAGCCTGAAGGTCTCGTAATGTGTGGATTTCTTGAGATTCGCTTGTGTCGTCGAAGCTCTTTCCCTCCGATACTGCAGCACCCGGGCGAGCAGGACCCTACGGTAGGAAGCAAGAATACCCAAGATCATACATAGACCAAGTCGTCGAACCAAGAAGCTCCTGTAAGCGTTTTCTTTTCAGCTTTGTTCCTCGGCATTCTCGGAGCACAAAGGGGGGCAGTACGACCCGGAGCGGCTTCCGAGCTCCTCGCCGGCTGCGGCCCCAGTGCGACGAACCGTAGCGAAGTATAGGCGGAGCAGGTGGTCAGGTGACTCGTGTAGCTCCATGCTACACGATATGTGAGTCTGCCAGATGTACACACTCAGAGATAGATGATAGATAGATAGATAGATGATGGATTGATTGCTTGCATTGCTTTGCTTGCTTGCTTGCTTGCTGGATTGATGGATCGATGGATTGATTGATTGATTGATTGGTTGCTTAATTGATTGGTTGATTCGTTGGTTGGTTGATTGGTTGCTTGATTGGCTGATTGGTTGAGTGGTTGATTGGTTGATTGGTTCATTGGCTGATTGATTGGTTGATTGGTTGGTTGGTTGATTGATTGGTTGGTAGGTTGATTCATTGATTGATGGATTGATTGGCCGGTTGATTGGTTGATTGGTTGATTGATGGATGGATTGATTGGTTGATATTCTAGCAAATGAACAAAGAGGTAAATCAGTTTATATATATATACACGTCTATACACTTCCTGCACATAAAAACAAGCAAGCAAAGAAATGACTGCCGCAGATACATACTTTCATATATATATATATATATACATATATCTGTCTAGATAGGTAGATAGATACATAGATAGGCAGAAATACGAATAAGCAACTGTAAATAAGTTAGATCAGCAAAGATGTAGGATAAATATATAAACGCAAGTAAATGAACAAACTTATGTAGAGGCACGAACACACACAGATATATATATATATATATATGTATATGTATACATATACATGTATATATATATATATATACGTATGTATGTACATATTTTACTATTTTTACTTAGTTGTAGTTGTGTGCGTTCATAGTTTACAACGATGAATGGCAAGCTGTCCAGTGAATTGTATTATAGCATGATACACCATTCCGCCCCCGGATTATGGTCACCTTGCGCCGCAGCTCAGCATTCGCCAGCAAGGCTCCTGCTGTGGGGCCGGGAAGGCCGTGCCAAGAGGGACTGCACTTGTGACATTGAGGTTCCGCTTTTGTGCTGCGATGGTTATTAGGAGCTGAAGAGGGCGACTGCCAGGGAACGAGTGCACAACGAACAGTGTCTGCACGATGGAGCAATACTTTCACTGCTCCGCCAAGCTCTAAGTGACCACTAGGCAAGATGGCTCGGCGTTGACCTTCGCCAAGCCGGCTGCGCGAACCTCCACTGCAGGCATCATCACCCCTCTAATCATGCCGTGCAATGGGTTCAAATCCAAATTGCACGGTGTTTTGCAGAGACATTCCATGTCAGTCGGTCCGATGTCTTGTAAGGATCAGGCACAAGAAGTTCACTGGTCCTTGAGTTGCGGAGTATGAATCCTACCCGTCCAACGCCTGCGAGCCTGCAAGCCGACCAGCACTTGTGTTCTGGCCGATGTCGACGCCACGTTTGTGACCCGCACGTTGTTCTAGCCCGTCAAGATCCCGAAGTGGCCGTTGACAGGTGTACCCCGTCGTCCGATTCTCAAGCTCAGCTCCGACTCTGCCAGCGAGGACGGCAACATGTCGTGATGTTGAACTTTCGGATTCGGCTCTAGTGGTCGTCTTCCTTCGCTCTCAGAATAGAACAGTTCCCAAAGGCAAGTGGCGATGGGGGTGAATGCAGAAGCACTCCCGCGGCATCTCAAGCCGGATAGCCGGCCCTCAGCTCTTGTGGCTCAATGTCAACCTTGCTCAGAAACTTAGAACTAGCGCTGGACGCTGTATTCTGTCGCTGCATGTGTTCGTCTCACATTAAAGCATGTGGCCTGGGTCTTGATATGTATATATACGCAAGACTAGCGTTGTCAGCCTCGAGAGTTTGCAACTGCGATCGGCCGGCATAGTGCCGCGCATTACCGTAGCAATGATGTCCACGCTCGCCATGAACTTCCGTCTGCTGCGGGCACGTGGGTCCCCCGTGCCAGCCAGCGTCATGGCACTGTGGCCCCGCCATTTCTCAAGCTTGCCCGTCGCGTCCTGCGACCTCCAGCGTGGCTCTGTCTTCCTCCGAAAGGGTATCTACTGCGAGGTTCGCAGTTCGAAGCCTGCTGGCCATGGACGCTCAGCTGACGGAGCCTACGAGATCCGCTACCGGGAGCTCAGAACGCGGAAAGCACGGGAGATGAAGATGAAAGAGACAGAAACTTTGCAGGTGGTGGAATGCGAGCGGGTGTCAATGCCAGTAATGTACAAAGATGACACGAGGCTTGTCTTGGCAGATTCCGACTACAACGAGGTTGAGGTGGCGATGGAGCAGCTTGGCGAGGCAGGCGATGTGCTCCAGTGCGGGCACAACGTCTCAGTGCTGTATCACGAGGGCAACCTCGTGAAGGTTGTCCCGCCACCACAGATCGCAGACCAGCTGCAGCAAGACTTCCGGAAGCAGCGGCGCGCGAAGCTTGCTTCTAGGCAGAAGGAGAGAAAGGAACTGAGGGATAAGAGAGCCCACATGGCTGAAGAGAAAGGTGGATAGCCCGGGCAAAAGATTAAAAGATGCCTTGCGTGCTGCGTGTCCGAGAGTGCTGCATACATGCCTTCGGAGAAGCATCGAACGTAGTTTGCTCCGTTTTCAGGATATGGCTAAAGACGACAAGAAGCCCCCGTCGGACGCTGAGCTCCTTCATGCATGGGTCGTGCCAACTTGGTGCAGACACATTGTTGGCGTGGACACGTGGATGGCTGACCGTGGCTGCTGTGACAAGGCCAAAGCGTAAGCGGAAAGGCTCCGACTCCGACGAACAATCAGGCAGGACCGAACCACAGCTTGCAATATATCATATGAAGACCGTGAATGCAGACACATGTAGTGTGAATGCATGTGAATGCAGTGAGTGAAGGCCAGCGAGTGTCGAGGCTCTCGCGGCACACTCGAGTGCCACACTTAGCTTTACGTCTTTCCAGCTGAGCTACCTTTGCGTGCTTGCCGAGCCAACTCGCGAGTCACTCCTGAGGTCCGGGCGTCCTGCATGCAGGAGGAGTTCGGATAGCTGGGCTGGTGGGACATTGCAAGCGATGGTGGGTGTTAAGCTGGCGGTGGTGGATGAAAGTTGTTGGCACTGGCCGTCTGAGTCGTGCTACATCGTGCAGGACTAAGTCGACGCTGGAGGACCAGTGAGTCCGAAGACCATGAGCATTGTGCTTAGCGGTGTGCTCCAGGATCCTGTCATCAAATCACAAACACGCTTTGTAGCATTGCTTAGAGATGCTGGGGTGCAACCAGGTGCGCTCAGGACGAGTAGTGCCAAACGTAAAATGCTTTCAATCCCCATCGCCGGCCCGATTTGTACAAAGTCATCGAGGGGGCTTGAGATGAGGTTTTATCGGAGTCCTGCGTTCCAGGCACTCGGCTCGTGATCATGCGGACCAAGCCAGAAGGGCTTGCAGTTGCTGTTGCACGGCTTCTTGTGCTCTTCGTGACTGATGATTCTGAACGTGTGAGCGCGGACTGCTGGGATGTCGCTGCGCATGCAAGAGCTATGCCGCGATGCCCACGGCCCCACGGCTCAAGCTGTACAGCAAGCAGGCAGCATTCACGCGCAATGCGAGAATGCAGACTTGGACAAGAAGGAAAGTAACTACAGGCAACTTGAGGGACCAGCACATTGAACTGGGGCCATAAAGTCCCGACGACGGCTCCAGCAGGAAAGAGTCCAGCCACCGCTCACATAGTCAGGCATAGTTCAACGCTAGATTGTGTTGCCCTTCGGGCCGATCCACCACTTCATCGTCACAGGCCATGCCTGCAGACTTGCTCGGGGGCCGCCAACATTTTGTGGTGCGGTCCGGGGTGATAAGGTTCAAGGGTTTCGTCTCCAGACGAATCCCCATGCATTCGCCAGGCATGGCCGAAGCTGCGCACATCGCAGTGCGAATCAAGGCCAGTCGCGAGACTAGCTGCAATAGACTCTTCGGCGCTCCTCTCCGGGTCGGGCTCCAGGGCAAAGATGTGAGTGCAGGGTTTGTCTTCGCCCTTGCCCAGCTTTGCCCAGCTGGAGCAAATCAGCCTGACTCTGGCATTCGAGGCGCACACCAAGATTGGCTACGGGGAAGACCTGTTGGCCGTCTGCCCAGTATTGACACTGCAGTCAAAGCCCCAAACCTTCAAACGTCCGACGGGACCTCGCAAATCGGACGAAGTCCTCTAGCAATCGGCTGCTGTAAGGTGTGCGGTTCTGCACCTGCCTTGGGCAGTTGGAACCTCGCAGATGCAGCCCTGATGCAGTGCAAGGCACCAGACACAAGACCGTCTCAAGGGAGGTGAGGCTCGTGACCTCGAGAAGGGCAAGCCAGACTTGGGTTGCAGCAGCTGAAAGGGGTTTTCTTGTTTAGCTTGGCAATCGCGCTCAAGCCTGGAAGACCGTGAGACCCAAAGCTCTGCACCGCTCCAGACCCCAGATCCGGAAGTCTGGCCTTTCAGGGTGACTTGTGGACCTTGACCACGGAGCTGCCATGCGGTGTGCGTGTGCAGCCCTTGGCCGACCTTTGGAGTCCTCGATCTTTGATGTCTGTCGAAAGCTGTAGAAGTGAGGTGACGTCTCTCTGTGAACCTAGACCCAGACGCGCCCTTCTCTGGCCCAAAGGTGTTTCGCCACTGAAAACAAAGAAGCATGGCACCAACTGGTAGAAATGCTTCCGACTTTGACAACTCAACGGATTGAAAATAACAGCTGTGCATGACAGCAGCTGGCAAGCGTGTATGCCTCTAGGTCCCGGGAGCGTCGTGCCGGGGAATCAGAAACAGCATGGACCAGTGCAAGTATGACTTTGAGGAGGAAGCGGCTCGCCCGATTAATGTGGCCATCGGCTTCGTCCTGGTCACCGGCACGGCCGTTAGCATAATTCCAGCACATGTGAAAATTTGGTCAAAGAGCAGCTGCGAGGGCGTTTCTCAAGCCACCATCTTGCTGACAAATGCAGCGTATACTTGCCTTGCCTGGAATATGATGATGCTGAAGTTTCCCCAACTAGAGTCTTGTAGATCGAATTGGTGGCTTTGCCAGGCCAATCTCTTAGCCTTCTACCAGGTTCTGGTTCAGTGGCTCTTATTCTTTCCTCTCTATGCCTGGTGCACGCACTTTGGAGAAGACAGCCAAAAGCGCTGGTTTCGGAAGGCCTGGCTTGCTCAGGTAGGAATGTTGCTGTTCGGCACCGGGGGTCTGCTTCTCTGGTCCTTGCTTTCAGATTGCTCCTGGACCATTCGGCTTGTTGCAAGCGGCTTGGGATACATCTCTGCTTTTCTGAATGGCGTGCGCCAGATTCCGCAGATTCGGACGTCCCTCTCCGTGAAGGGCTCCGGCAGTATCAGCTACACCTTCTACGGCTTAATGGGTTTGGGAGGCATCCTCAATCTCTACTTCCAGATTGACAGCTCAAGGGAGCGACTGACCACCGTGCTGTCGACGGCAGTTGGCTGTGCCATGTTCCTTGGTCGTGATGGTCAAGGGCAGCTTCTGTAGGATTCTTTCTGTTCTGTAGTAGCAGGGTAAAGAGCCTGGCTTAAGTACGTGGAACTGATTTGTGTTGCTTGAAGTTCCTACCACCCGGGCCAGGATTCTGGTGGTGCTGGTGCTCTGTGCATACTACGACTGCCGCGCCGCGTGCTCGCGTTCCGAAGACTCTCTGAGAGGCCATACTGGCAGCCTCCTGTGAATCATCTAGTCCGATGTGAGCGAAATATGGCAACCCCAAGAGGGTCCACATCCTCTAGACTCCTCGCCTGCAAGAAGGACAGGCCAGCGAGCTGGGAAGCAGAACAAGCCATACATGTGTGCTGTGCAGCAGTCTGCGGTGCGATAGAGTTAATGGCTGCTGTCTGTTCCGGGGGTTTGTGGACGGGATGCATAGCCATAGACAGGCGCGGTAGGCGGGTTTGAGGGTTTGTAGCATCTGCTGGCACAAATACGTAGTATGTCATACTGGTAGAGTTGTATATGTACGTGTATTTGCTAAAAATGCGTATGTGTGTACGTATGTATACATATTACATACATACACACACACACATATATATATATATATATATTATATATACATATGCATGTATGTAACATACATACATACATACATACATAATTATGTCTCTGTATATGTATATATACACACACACACATATATATATATATATATATATATATATTATACATGTTATATTAACGTGTATGCTTATATGTATATGTAACTATATCAACTATATCTATATATATTGTATATAATTTATACACGCATATATACATTGTTTTTCTCTCTCTCTCTCTCTCTCGATATCAATATTGCTGCAGTAGATGATCAAAGCTTTCAGTGAGCTTGGCAGGTGCTGAAACCAAGCCAAGCCGATCCATTTTTTGCGAGCAAAAGACCCTGGCTAACAGAGGACCCTGTCCAGCAGAAGACTTTGTGTAACGTCTCAGGTTCCCGTTCCCTGCGGCCTAATTAAGCCTAAGCCCTAATTTGCAGTTTTGGATAACTCACTCGCTGACTCAGTCACTCAGTCACTCATTCCTTCGTTCGCTGACTCAGTCATTCGTCCATTCCTCGTCCCTTCCTCTATTCAGTCTGTTCATTTTGTGCACCACCTGCATCGGTTGATTCTCTTCAAATTCATTCATCCATTCATGCCTGCATGCATTCCTTCAGTGGTTCAGGCTATGTAGGTATGTACAGAGTTTTGCAGTGATCAGCTCATCGATCGTCGAGCCCCGCACGGTCCTTTTGCCTTGAACGGTTCAGTTTCTTGCAAGTGACCAAACAGAGAAACAGATGGGTTCAGAGCTGGTGTGCTGTTAGTTGCCATAGTTGCCACAGCATGCAGCATGCCCATATGTAGCGTATGCCATGGTGTGAGCGCCCCAACTCTAACTCCATGAAGGGCCAGCGCAAGTTGTTCACGTGCCCAGGTAGAGCTCAAGCTGGTCCAGCGGCCTCAAGGTCGTCAGGTGGTTTGGTACGGGACGGGGCCCGGGCCACAGGTGGTTCAGGACTGCAGATCACAGAGCTTCAGTAGAGAGCTCGCGGCACAACCTGGTCAGGCCCGGAGGCAATGGGAACCTGATGCTGGAGACGAGCCTAGGTGCCTTGTCTTCGACAGTGTGAGATGACCGCCACGGCTCTGCAGAATGCAGCCATCGAGAACTGACTTCCAGCATAGCTGGAAAGGTAGGGCTGGTGCCATGCCCTCCCACTTCGAGAATCTCGAGGGCACGGCGCTTGGTTGCGATTTCTCCAGTGCTGCTCTTGATGCGGTCTTAGGCTTTTTGCACATTCTGTTGCTGGAGCAGTGACACCTAATGTCGTGAAGTTCTGCTTTGTGATTGTGCGAGGGTCGGAACTCAGAAGGCAGTTTCGGCCTGGATTCTTCGATCATGGCGAAGTAGAGCCTTACTTGTAGCTGCTCGGCTCTTTTGCTCTCTTCCGACTGGCTTCAGGCATTGACAACGTAGCTCGATGAAGCAGCAAAGAAGCCCTAGCGCTGTGTTTTGAGATCTTTTTCTTCTCCATGAATTCCACGACGACTGGAGTATGCAGTGTATAAGCATGCAACACCAGTGAACGTGCAACTGGCTCAGCAGCTGTACAGCAGCTGTTTGCGAGCCGATGCCTCGAGCAGTGCTGGGTCGGCAAGCGGGATGAGCTGTGTTTCCCACAAGCACAGCTCCCAGCGGGCTTCAGGCTCTGTTGGGCGCTGGCTTTTCTGCCTAAAACGCCTTGGAGGATAATCAGATGCAGCATAGTAACTACACTGCCATAGACGCGACCTTTGGGCCAAACTGAGTCCGACACGAAGCCGAAAGCAGCAATCTATGGCCGTTGCACGCCCCAGCAGGCCTGTCGCGGCTGAGCACGAGAAGTGGCACTGGCAGCCGGGCCAGCGGCAACCGGGCGCAAGACTCGTGTGGAAGATAGGCTCTCCTACTGATCCTGCTTCTCCTACTACACCAATGGCCCAATTCGGAGCCGAAACCAGGCTAGCGGCTGCAGAGACTTTGGCAGTAGCTGTATTTGTCTCTGTCGATATCTGTAGACCAGCCGTTGTCGCACACTTGCAGGAGACGTTGTTCCAGGACAAACAGGGAGATTTCCGTCCGAAGGTTGGGTTTGGCTTGGAATTACGGACCGCAGACTTCCCCCTTCCGACCAACTACCTTGCAAGGTTTCACTCAACAGCAATGGCAGGTCGTTATTGATTATCAAGGCAAGATAGAGCTTTTGCCGTTCTGCAGTCCAAGAAAACATCGAAGGCACGCTGCAAGCAAGTCGCGCTTCGCCTCCCAGCGATGGCCAGAAGCTGCGTCAAGGCAATTTTTGAACACAGATGTTCTGAATGCAGAATACGCAGTATTTTGACATGCGGTTCCCCACATAAGGGCGCAAGAAATCATATTGGCATGGTCAAGTGTGGTAACTTCATGAGGGCTTCTGCAGCGGGTCACGACACTTTGCGTTCGTGCGGCAATTGCTCGCATGTGCAGCGCCTGCAGAACACCGCAGACTTGTCTCTGGAAGCAGGGGATGTTGAAGTTGAATGGTCCGAGTGACTGAGTGCCCCTCCGCAAGAGACGAGTTTGGAAGGCACGTGCATCCTCGCCTGTACGGCGGTATGCAGTTCTGAAGCTTCAAATCCAATCACTTCCCGACCTTCTAAGCTCGGTGCAATGTGGGCAAGTTCAGACTCTCAACTCAAGCAAGAATAATAACCTGGCAGAGTGTCACCAAATTACGCTTCCGGCGCTGTCTTTCAGATGAACATTGCGCGAAGCACAAAGCAGAGGGCGCCGGCAGCGCCGAAACTGATGCAATCGACTGCTGATTGACTTCCCAGTCAGATCGATTCTTCAGTGAAATCGATAAGCAACCGGGAGCACGAACCGGAAGAGAGGCCTTCCACCGCTGGCACCCGGACCTCTTCCTGGCTCAGCGCCGCGGCTTACGGCCGAGGCAGGGGCAGCACAGGAAGTTGCAGAGAGTCTTTTGGTGGATCATGCCTTGTCATACAGCTGCGGGAGGTTCTCAGCAAGCTAGACCGAGAGAGCCGGAGAAGCGGCACGGCGAGTGCCCGGCTCGTGGCCGCCATGGGGAGCCTGAGGCTCAGGAAGGTAAGACCGACAGACGACAGTCGACTCGATCACACTGCTTTCAGAATGGGTGGGACCACCCGATCCCTCTACAAAAAGCGAGCTCTGAGAGTGCTAGGCCGTCCATTCATTGAAAATGAGCGCGTAGGCGTAGTGCATCCCAGCGCAAAACCTCAGAAGATCACATCTGCCGAGGCGCTCCGTCACAGCAACAGCAACAGCAGCTACAGCAACAACCGCAGCAGCCGCCGCCCCCACCACTGCGGCAGCCACAGCAGCAGCGCGGAGTTTCTTTGCCGCCGCTGCCACGTACACAGCGGCTGATGGCAGCAGTTGCCCGCTTGCAGCTAGACCTCGGAGGGCCCCGGAGGGTGTGGGTTCCGCCGTTTCGCCGTTTCGGACTTCATGGTCTCGGTCCGGTTTCCTGAACGCAGGGCCGCGAGATGCTGCACAACCCAGGGAGCGCGATCATGCCCTCACTCACTCTAGACTTTAGACCTCGAGCCTGCGTGTTGAAAGTACGGGCTGAGCAGCGAACGGAAGTGGTGGTCTTGATTGGAGCCATCGACTTGCCTCGATGGCCTTCGAAGAGCCTCTCAAGTGCATTTGCCGTGGCAAAGCTGAGACTCACATGGCTTCAGAAGGTTGGTGTGCTTGTCAGGCTTCTGCAGAGCAAGCAGACTCCACCCCCTCGAACGCGCCCTCGAAGAAGCAAGGGCGATCTTCCAGCACCGACCTCAGCTTTCTGCTTGTGCCTTGGACGGCTGTTCTCAAGATGGACATCTGCGTCCCATAAGCGCCTGCCAAAGTGGGGGCATTGCGAAGGTTGCAGGGTGTGAGTTGAGTAGTCGAGTCTGCGGATCGCGCAGATCTAGGTGCTCAGCCCTTGCAGCCCTTACCCCGCCGGCGGCCTCGACGGAACGGCCCTGTGCAGAGCCTGGACTGGCAGTCGAAGGAGGCAAGTTGAGGGATCATCGCTTCTGCGCTGCCGGATGGCTGCATGCTGCTGGTTTCTCTGTCGGATGCAGGCTTGGCGGGCGACGGACGGTGTCCTCATGCGCGCCTATGCGGCCCGAGTGGAGAAGGATGCCCCGACGATACCGTGCCCCCACTGTGGCCGGAAGCCGCTCGCAAAGTAATAGCACCTGCAGTAGGTCAGTAGGCAGTTGACCTGTGGCATAGAAATGTGTTGTGTCAGCATGTCGACGACGGTGCGGAAGCGACAATGACAATCGACAATGTGGCCCTGAGGTTCCGAGAGGAGGCTTTGGCCACACATGCACGCGTTTGCGTCAACGTGTTCGGCAAGCAGCGGAAGGCGAAGAAAGACTGGGCGATGGATGGGCATTCTTTCAGTATGACCATGCGGGATCCCATGCTTCTCACCCGTTCCCACCACCTCAGGCCACTATGTCGTCGTTCCATACTATATACTGCGACGAAAGCATTGTGGGAACAATGGCATCATGTCCCACGCTGTCTAAGAGTGCTACAATCCGCAACATGATGACCTGTTCTGCACCAAAGTGCATGCATGTCTCTCTTCGCCTCTCTTTCGTTCTTCCGACTGTCCGTCGTGCTTTTTCAGTCCTATTTGTGTGTTCCGCCTCTCTTTTGCTGTTTGGTGTTCTCTGGCCCTCAGGCCTTCGATGCCCAACGCCAGCGCATGCCTCCCGGAGCTCTTCGACGCAGAGCCCGGATCAGAGAGGCCATGCGTAAAGCCGAGGACAGGTACAGGCTGAAGGCATCTGAAGGCTGCAGGATGGCGGAGCCTCGGGCATTGGTGCTTTCCAGCTGTGCTTGCCGCTCCCACCTTGACCACAGCATCCGCAGAATGCCAGTCCGCACCTAGTCGGTTCCAATCTTTCGTGAATTCTTTGACATCTCCGACGGCCCAGACCCTGCAGGCGGCGGCTTTATGAGTCAGTCTTTCTTTCGGTCGTGTGCTGGACACCGTCGTAGGCGCGAAACCAAGCTGTATGACAACGAGTTTTCAGGCGTGATTCGTCAGAGCTGGCAGGTGAAACTGGTGAACAACTGGCGGCAGCAGAGCCGTGCTCTGCGACTCGCCATGCGTGCTGCGCGGCGCAGCTGTTGCTTGGTTCGAAGGGATGCCTACAATGCTGTCGCACACCTGAGGTGATCTGCATGATGCTGTACTCTGTTGCCTGGTAGTTAATACTGATTTGCGTGTAGTCCAATATGCTTGCCGGGTACATGGCATGTAGATGATGTGGATTGAAAAGCTGTTCTACTCAATACACAACAGGCCTGCCACAAGCACATAAAATGAGACAACCGAATGGATGACTAAAACACGATGCCTCACTATACCAGTACGTGTTCAACCAGGTAGAAGAATAGCGATAAAGAAGACCACGTAAACCTGCCCATTCATAACTGCATGTACACACACACATGCACATGCACAGGTGCAGACACATGCACGCATGCACACATAGCCGCATTCGCGTGCGCGTGCCCACCCTCCTTCCCTCCTTCCCTCCCACCTAGTACCCGCCCGCACAGACTAAGAGGCAGACACACAGAACAGACACAGACACGCGAACAGAGACACAGACACGCAGACTGATGAAACGTGTTTCCTTCTGTCATGATCTGAAGACCATGCTTGTAGGTATGCTTACCGTAGCTTCATCAAGAATTGTCTTGTGAAAGCTGCTCTCGTGGCCTGCTCAGACCACGCCCGGGATCGATTCCTTGGCCCTGCTTCGGGCGAGGCCGCGGCCCCTCGGCAGCCCACATTAATAACGTTCATGGGGTTTGATGCCATGCCGAAATGACGGCACGAGTGACGACAATGGTTGTTAACGTCATGGTGCTGATGACGGAGCAACAAGCACGATCCTGCTCGTTGTGGTTTTGCAAACAGGTTGTTGCTTTGAGAATTGCCCATGAGTGGTTCCCGCACCTGATTCTGATTGCATCACGCAGTTTCTTTCTCTCTTCTCCAACCGTTGCCTTCTTCGGAGAACATCTGTTGTGTGTGTTTACCTGGCGTGTAATCTTGCAGGAACTGGAGAATAACAAGTTGTTTGGCGCTTGGAACTGACGGATAAGCTCTGCACTGAGCACATCTGCGTTGCAGTTTTGTCTCTGGGGTTACGCTGCGCCATCATCGACACCAACGTCCGAAGAGATATGCCGACTTCTGTCAGTCAGCTGTTTTATGCCGCAAGCCCTCTTCCATTCAAACCCTCCCTGCTTTGCGTGCTTGCAGAGGATTCCTGATGACCTTTCAACAGCGACAGACACCGCAATTTTTAGACTTGTATCGGGTAGTCGGTCAAGAGCAGACGGCCGCCAGAGGGCTTGAGTAGGCAAGTTTAGGGTTTCGCAGTTCGGAGCATCTGACGTCAGACCTCTGAGAACTCAAGTTGGATGCATCTCTCAGTGTATCCTTGTTGCTGGGATCTGTTCGGAGAACGCTCTCTCCCGTCCGCATCGGCCTGAGTACCGAGGGCCTCGATGACCGTATCCCTTGCCCACACTGCGGCCGGAAATTTGGAGAAAACCAGGCAGCCAGGCACATCCCAGTTTGCCGCTTGGCTGCTGCGAGTCTTGTTGTTCACCTCGTTCGGCGTTGCCACGAATTTGGTGCTTTTCCTTGATGTGGCCGCTGTTTGAGACTTCCCTCCACCTCGGAAGCTTGAAATTCGGGGCCCGCAAAAGGGACGTGAGCATACACACTTTACAGGGATAATATGCCTACATGATTGAGCTTCAGGATAAGTTGATAGGGGGGTTTATGTGGGACATCCCTGCTGGCAGGTATCTTTGCTCAAGAGCCGCACTCGGGGCTGCCTTGTGTGGAGATTTAGGGTTCATGTGGACGGGCCAAGAATATAAACAGATAAGTTTTGTATGTTTTCAGGATTGACAGGCTTAGAAGTTTGGGCCTAAAACACACCGTTGTTATCTCGCTGAATTGTGACCCTAACCCGTCGCTTTCGATGTGATTCAGTAGTGATACGATGGACTATGTGGAGCCTTGCCTGCCTTGTGCGAGAGTGAGCGTCGAAACCGTCGCTGCATGTTTTCATTTTTGTTGTAAACCCGGCCCGTCGCTGGCTGGGGCTGACCGCAGCTGCCCGCAGCACCATGCATCCGATGTGGCAAACGTGTGCTTGGAACACAAGGCCCAGAACACATACTGGTGAACACGAAAGGTCATGCAGATTGCATGTACCTTGCGACGCGCATGCACAAGCCCTAAATCCCCAGAGTTGTAACCTCAAGTGCAAAACAGCAAAACCTTCAACCTTTAAACGCAAACCCGATTAGTACAGTTTTCCAACATGGTTTCCCTCATGACATGACCTCGTGAGATGGACTTTCGATTTGACCCCAAGAAGCTCGATGTCCGAAAGCGAACGCCGAAACGCAAGCACACGCAAGCCTCAACTCAAAGAGTTGAAAGAGCAGCAGCCCTGTCTCCGTCGAGGCCGAGCCCAGGCTGGTTGCCGGAAGCATGGATTGTTTGGTTGCTTGCTACTTCCTTGCGTCAGTCTCTTAAAAACTACAAGCAATCGAAATCTGTCTTTCTGGCGAAGGGATGCGAGGGGTGTGCAATCCTTATACATACAATGGCCGGAGCATTGACTCTTGCGATATGTCGCAATGCAAGTGCGGGGCTCAGGGCATGTAAAGGACGGATAGACAGATGGATGGGTGGATCTTGACATGGCCATGGATCTAGGCAGGGAAGCAGAGACCTAGATCTGAAATCGTGTCAGGTGGCAGGAAAGCCCTCCAAACACCTGTCGTTTGAGTTTACTATACTAGTTTGCTAGGTTCTGCTCAAGTATCCCCAAATCTGTAAGCAACACACACCTGGCAGGGGCACATTTTTCCCTGAATGTCCGGTCAGACGTGCAGAGCTAGGTAAATGTAAGGTCGCAATGCACGAGCCAGTGTTTCACACATATGCTAGCGTGCCGCACAGTATTCTGCATACGCCAATCGTAGGTATGCGTGCTTCCAAATTGCACGGCTCATCCGCTGCAATCCGGTGCAACATCCCTCGACCAGGTGCCCTCGCAGGCATCGCCGGGGAAGCCCTCGGGCGAGTCTCGGCCCGCAGGCTCGTGGGTTCCGCATTTCTCATCGCTTCACTGCCGGAGGTTGGTATGCGTTAAGGCTTGGATGAGCGTGCGATGGTTTAGGATTGCAAGTCTTGGAATGTCACCTTATAGGACTCTTGCCTGCTGCCTTGGGGATTCCACGTTGGGCGCAGTGCCTGCATTCAACTAGAACTCCGTCGGGTTACGGGGGGTTACGGCCTCGTGTTTCAAGCTGCTCGCTTTTCAGGATTTCCCTACGGGGTTGCAGGCTGAGGTCCATGCACATGCGTTGTTACAAGGTACGCCGGCACGGGGGCCGCCCCCCAGCGCCGTCAGAGACACCCGGCCGTGGTGATTTCAGGCGGGTCTCGGAAATCGCACCGGTGATTCCTATGCATCTCATATGCTGCCCTTCCGTCCAGGTCTAGACTTGGCCAGCATTGTCGGAACGATGCTTGGCTTTCACGTGCTTGTGATAGTGTCTTCATCCAACAGGATGTGGCCGTTGCGAAGTTGCAGCAGGGACAGGCTCTGTTAGGATTGAATTTGCAGCGCAGACGGCTGGATCTTCTGCTCCGATCACCGAAGATGCGGCAACGTAACTGTGACTTTGAACTTTGACAAAGGTCCCGGGGTAGATGCATGCCTCTGCATCGCCAAGTTTCACTCAGTAATGCAGGCGTCGTGGGCTTTGGGGACGAAGCAGCGTAGCAGAGATGTTTCGTGACTTCATGTGGGTGCTGTTACATTAGCATGGATGCCTGCATGCAAGTGTTTGCAGAGCACATTCGGAATGCTGCGAGAAATGAGGCAGTGGTTTCGTTTGCAGCTGGGTTTGATGCACGCCTTAGGCTTGTCGAGGTGCTTTGCAGCGAAGATATTGCATTTTTACAAGGCTGCGCACTTGACGACTAGGAACCTGCATTTCACAAAGAAGATGTACGTCCGAGGTGCATCGTGAATCCCGTACATGTGCGCGTAAGAGCTTTCGATGGCCGTCAGGCATCTGACGGCTTTTGGCAAGACAAAAACCTTGAAGCTTCTGAGCAGTCCGTGGCGAAGTTTAAACCACGGCTTCCATGCATGCAGAAAACCAATCATTGCCCAGCCAGAAGCGGCAAGACTGTGAATTGCTGGTACAACTTAGCTCTGTCTCACAGACGACATTTTCGTGCATTCATGTTGCGCGAGTTGCAACATTGCAAAAATGAACAAAGAGAGAGCGTCATCACCTTCCGGGTCTAGGGGTAAACCGCAGTCCTTGAGCAGGATGCTTTTTTCCGCTTAACACGGATCTCTATCCGGCAGGTAAGTTGATCGATTCCAGGGCTAGCTGGAAGACCATGTTGCCGGTGCTGCCTAGTTTTCCATTCCTTGCGATATTCCCACATTGCCGGTTCAGATTCGCTGATCCGAGGCTTTCCCTGGCGCCTCGAAGTCGAGGAGCTAAGCCCGGAAGAGGCGCAGCAAGGCACCAGCTTAAAGACGTTGGAGCCTCCCTCCCTCCCTCCCTCGGTCCCTCGGTCCCTCCGTCCCTCCGTCCCTCCGTCCCTCTCTCTCTCTCTCTGTGTCTCCGCCTGCTTCGCTAGGGACCCCCCTCACAAGCGATCGCATATTATGTAGCTCAGAGCTTGCGAGGCACGAGCACGTGTCGGGAAATTTAATTGCTGAGCCCTTGTGTCGAGAGCTCGAGTGCCTCGGCCTCCTGCAGTTTCCAGCTTGTGCTTTCGTGGTCGCAGCCGTTGAGCCTATGGCGTGACAGACTGGGCAAGCATAGCACGGAGAGCTGGAAGGACTTCCCACGTTTTTTCCCACCCGTAATCGTGCCACAACCGGAGCTAGAAGTGATCCCACGGCCACGTACAACATCGAGAGCAGATCACCAACTTATGTGTCGTGAAAGCAGGAAGCAATCACAACGACACTCCTTTGACAGAGCGTCGCGAGTTTGCTTCCAGCCGTTTGCTGATGTCGTCCGCATCGAGTTCCTCGTCCGAGGTCTCGGATGCAGAAGCCAGTTCTGACGATGGTCAGACTGGAGCTGCCGTTGAGGACGACGGCAAGGACGGCGGCAAGCAAGAAGAGCCAAGCGAAAAGGTTGAGAAGGCAGAGGAAGAGGACAGTGGCGTGTGGGGCCACTTGGACAGTGTGCTTCCAAGCCACGAAAGGCAGAGGCTAGAACGTGAGGCTGTTTTGAGAAAACAAGAGGAGGAGAAGGAGAGAGCAGCTGAAGCCGCTGTCTACGTGGGGAAGCCAGACATGCGGCCGAGCTGGGATGGGGGAGGTTGGGGTGGTCCCAAAGACGGCTACGACATGGACACGAGATACATGTTGAGGGGTGAGGCGCGGGAGCTCCCCGACCATATCTACCAGAAGTGGAAATTCCAGAAGAACGATGAGCACTTGAGAATCCAAGTTATGACGAAGGACAAAAAGAAGAAGGCAAAGAAGAAAAAGGGCAAGGGCACGGATGTTCCCCGCAAGAAGAAGGACAAGAAGGAGAAGGATAAGAAGAAGAAAAAAAACAAGAAAGAGAAAAGCAAGAAGGACAAAAAGGCCGGAAAGAAAAAGCGCAAGGACACGGAATCGTGACCTGAAGCACTTTCGGCCATTGTAACTTTCCATTTCGCCATGAGGCTCTTGCTGGGAAAAGGTTGGTCCTGCAAGAGCAAATTCTTTCTCAGTCTCACGTGGTGCTTTCCAACCCTCTCCTCCAGAGGCTGACAGCAGCCAAATTACATGCACATGCACATAGGAGCCAGACAATCGACTATGTCGGCAGGACATGGTAGAAGCCACAGAAGAATGATGAATCTCATCGAGTCTCACTGGTGGCACGCACGGATTGTAAATCTGGATCGCGGCGCGCGCAGTATTGCGAAAAGCGAGCCCGGAATCTCAAACTTGGTGAGCTTCAAGTCTGGTTTGCTTTTAATTGTTCTGGGTTCGAGGTGGTGTGTATGCAATGCCGTGTGCGAAAGTTTTGGTAGGTTGACTTGTTTGTGTTGAGAAATGTGCACCCAAGGATGTGGGGTATGATTCAGGCTTGCCATGGCATCGTGTCATCCAGTGAAATGCAGCTCCTGGCGCAAGGTGTAAATGTGGATCGGAATGGCCCGGCCGGCACATGTTGGGTTGGGAACTGACAAAGGTCACGTCGGCCACTGGAGTTGTTCCTTCGCAGGTAGACTTGCTCGGTTCCTCTGCCGTGTAGTCTGCATTTAGGGCACAAGCGCTTCACACCAACGGCGTCTCACCATCAATCTGGGATGCAGCCTCGGAGCAACATAAGCACTCCGCGTCAGGAGGTGCAAGGTGAGGCATACAGGCTGAGACATCCAACAGCGGATATTGGCAGTGATTTGCAGTGTAACATGTGATGGCTGGCTTGCGGCCGGAGTGCAATGCACTTCCGCACTGTGCCTCGCACATGGAGGCTGTTTGCAGGGATGGTGAGCGTGTATTGCATACAGCGAACATCAGGGAACCTGTCAATGGGGATAGGTCTGCGCTGGAGGCTAGGAAGGATATGTGGGAGCTTGGCCTGACCCGAACTCTGCAGTTCCCAACTCCTCTCTGCCTTGTGCATTGAATCGACCAACCAACCAGTTGGGCCATCTGTAGCACCGTACCTCGACAGGCTGCTGCTGCTAGTGGCCACTGTGGGAAGGCTGTGCTGGCAGGCACCTCGTGTGTCCTCCAACGTCCTGCAGCCGAGAGGGAACCGCCAGCCTGACTTGAAAGCCGGCAGCATTGAAAGCCCTAAGCCTAGGTTTAATTCTTGTCCCAAGATGTTTGCCGTTCGTTTGCACATCTCACATGTGAGTCAGGGCACGACGCTCTGTTTGGTGCTTGGGGGCGTCCACCCACCGCGCAATGCAGGCAGAAGGGGGATGCGGCTCCTTTCGCAGTGACTGGCACTCACTGAAACACTGCAGCGCTGCGCTTGTACATGTAGCTCTCTGATACTGCTACTCGTGCACCTTACTCAGCCTAATCCAGTGACACTATCAATTCGTAGCAGCAACTCGAAGCAGGGGCCTGTTTCATCTGGAGGTTGCGTGCCGGCTGATGTAGCACAAGCCACTGCTCCCCCATACCAGCCGGAGGCACAAAGCATCAGCTGAGCCGAGATGCCGGCAAAGGGCCTCGGCCTCAGTTGGCGAGATGCAGACGCGTTGGAAAGGAGCACGCTATGTCTTGCTGAGGTATGGCGTGCTCCGCCAGCTGCTTCAGCTTCAGGAAGACTTTCTGTCGCTGCCACGGACGAAGGACGCATGATGCCAGCCACGAGACTGAGCCATTCGGGTTGGCTGCTAGCAATGGCCCCAGCCCAGGACACAGCGAAGTACCGGGGACCATCCTGTCATCGCATGTTTAGCACACACAGGTTTCAAGGCCGATTCAACCGCCATCTCCAGGAGTTTGTTCTCGATCGTGGCTGGCCTGACTCCAGCTCCGTCGATGTGGACGAGTTCTTGCGAAAGCAGAAGGACTGGAACGAAGTGATGGTGGTATGTGTGGGGATCGGGCTCCATTTTTGAAGCTTACCTGCAGACTCGCCGAACAAACTCAAACCCCGAGTTTGACAGGAATGGACCCTCGACGGCCGTCTTCCAGCCGTTTTCGACGTGAGATCTCCTGGGGACGCTGGGCTAGCTTCCGAAGCTGCTGATCGGCCTTTGGACGCGATAAGTGATAAGCGCTCATGCGCCTCCCCTCTTGTCAAGTTCGGCCTTCCGGACCCACGCCAAAGAAAAGAACGAAACGAACGGATTCTTTCGCCAAGGAGTTTGCCGCCGGGCACATCCCTGGTGCCACGAACTTGCCCCTGACTCTTGCTCGCAATGCCGTGAGGTCAAGGATGGGCTTGTCATCAGAGTGAGATCGGTGCTTGCACTCTTGACTGCAGGGTCACGAATCCTTGCTCCCAGGCTGGATGATGACGAGAGGCTATTCTGGGGTCCTGGCTGCCCGATGCGGACCACGCAAATGCTTCGCGTGCCATGAGACTGCAGGGCTGCCGTCGGCACTACATTCGCCAATCTAGGTGGGCCGAACCTCTTTTCTATGCAGCGCGGCAGTCAGCAAGCATAGGCGCAGCCTTTGTGTGCGATGCAGGGCCAGAGGAAGCCTTTGCCAACTGCTTAGCAACTTACGGACAGGTGTGCTCTGCCTTGTCTTGTCCATTAGCTTTTATGCAGATGCCATATTTTGGTCTTGAAGCCTACGGCGACCTCAGGATCTAGCCCTCGACAATGTGCATCCAAAGCTGGCCGACTTGTTACGTCAGGCCTGTTTCTCAGAAGTGCGTTTCAGATGAGCTCGGGAATCATGGGCATACAAGCCCAGAATGTCTCAGAGCTGGCCCTGTCGATCGCTGCACTTTCCGTCAAGGCTGATGCGCACACCGCCGGCCTCGAAGAGGTGGTCCTGTCTCACCCTTGTGGAGTGAGACGGCAGACGTGCACAGCAGAGTTTACCCCAAGAGCCCACTGTTGCCAGGCGAGGCGGCACGTCCTCCTGTACTGTAAGCGAGGTGCGGAGCTTGGGGACGGTCCAACATGCGTGTGCTCTCGCCTCTGTTTTCAGATGCATCTGCAAAGTGACAGTGCCGGGCGCACATCGGACACATCGTCGGTTTTTTGAATCAGAAAGGGTCGAAGGACATGGTTTCGGATTTCGGGGAATGACCGCTTTTCATAAGTAGGCTACACATGTCTGACCCCGTGCAATGCATCTGCAGCTGATTATTTGCTGGCATCTGTGTGGGAAACTCTTCGTCTCAGGTGGACTACGTTCACAATCAATGGCCAAGCTGCACCCCGAGAAGAGTACGGGCGGCTACTGTATGGAATAATTCAACATGGCGTGTGTGCTCGTGGAAGTATTCAAGTTTGCCCAATCGTGGCCTGCTGTCGAACAAGACTCATGCTGTCACTTTACATTCACACGTAAACCGTAAACAGTTTACGAAGTTTCTCCCCAACCACTGGCTTAAAGGCTTCTGGCGAGACATGGCTTCGACGTCCTGGTGCTTCAGGGTGGCTACAAGGCTGGAAAAAGTCGTTGCTCAAGCAAGTCCTGAAGCTGAGACACGTGCCTCGGTCCGACCGAAACCTAAAAGACTGTAAGGTCGACCTGCGCTGTTGAAAATTGCCCTTCTACCGTTGTTGTATTAGGCGTATGTGCGTGTCAGCATCCTCAGCCCTGGCAAGACCCATCCGGTGGGACTTGGCTTTCACGTGGGGTACCATGTGACCATGTGTCATCACGCCTTACGTGGCAGGCTTTTCGCGGTTGGGCTGAGCGCGTGCTCCGTGAGAAGCCCCAGAAGGCACCTGCTGCATCACTCCCTTGTACCGTCTGGATTTCGAGATCATCAGTGCTTCCATGTATTTCCATGTCATCGCTTGGCTCTTCGTCCGTTTTCGGGTTGTTGTGTAGATGCCTGGATCAAGCCGGCCTCGGGAAGCCAGATAGAATGAATTCTGACGCTGTCGTGTCAGGTCTGTGTGATTGCCGGAGCACGTTGCCCGCAGATATGCCAACTATAAGGGCTATAAGTCTTCCGGATTTGCGGGGCTGTACCGCAAGGCTTGGGAGTTTATCGTCGAGCAGAGGGGGACTGGTTTCTAGCGAAGACGGGAGCTGGTGTGACTGTGCTTGCTGCTTGCCCCTCTGCGATGGCCCGTGGTAAGTAAGTGTGTGTGCGCTAGGAAAGTTGTGGAGGAGACTCCAACAGCAGCTCAGGCGACCGGCAGTGGCAAGACCGAGGTCTTGGTGGAGCTTGGCAGGTCACATGCATGTTGCTAACGTTTTTGATGCCCTGTCTGTCTTTCCCAAAATAAGTGTGGTTAAGTCGGGGTGCAAAATGCATCAGCTGTTTGCGTCCGCTCGCCGTGTGAAGAACGCTCACGACCTTGCTTCATGATGTCTCTGCAACTTCTACTGATCGTAAGTAGCCTGGGCACACCTTCCTCGTACGCTGGTAGGCATGAATCTGCAGGGGAGTCAGATTTAGTTCATCTCTTGTGCTGGATAGAGAGCTTCGATGCTATGCTCCATGAACGCAGACCACGCTCGAATTCCTTACGTTATTAAATCAGCCGCCGAACGCTCACCACCCGACGGCTCTGTTGTTCAAGCCTTAATTAGGAAGCATAGGAATCAAGCGCAGGAAGTTTGCATAAGGGCGAGCGGCTAGTTGCAAAGCAAAGGCAGAAGCTCGGACAGGTCATCGACCTCGAGGCCTTGGGGGGGGGGGTTCACACAAGCATCACAGGGCTCCGAGTTCCATCATCGAGATGTCGTTGAGGTTTCCGTGTCCAGCACAACGTGGCAGCAACAGCTTGCCAGAGCTTATCTAGAGGGAATTTGCTTCAAGAAGTGTGGCGTCACAGCCTTCAGAACTTCGCACGTGCAGCCCCTTCGGCCCGCGCTTTGCGCAGCATCGAAGCGCTCCGGAGAGGAGTGCCATGGACTTGAAGGACCTTACTGGGTGCCCTGCATGGCCTGAGAATGCCGGAGAATGCCCAGGTCATATACCTGCTGTAGACAAGTAGTATAGACTAGAGCAGGTCCGGTGTTCGGGGTCAGCTGCCATGGCCGCCAGAGCCGACTCGAACAAAAGCTCAGAGAAGAAGGCGGGACCAAGTTTGCTTTGGCTGAAAGGCCCAGGGCTTCAGATTCAATGAGAAGTGCCCGGCAGGTCACCATCTCGAAGAAAGCTCTGAACTGGGTGCTTCCTGAGGACCCTTGGGCTGGGAAATCAAGACGGCGCCCGGGCGTAGGTGGTCTTGACCACAGGTTTGGCGTGATTTTCATGATACCAGTCATGCTCGATGTTTTACGCTGGCCAGCAAGGCAGCCAAGCCCTGGGAAGATCTTCTGGCATGTTATAACTGGAAGGTGCCAATTTTGCTGGCATGAATCTGTTATTGATTCCCAACCTGTTGAACAGATTCCGGACACTTCGCAGGGCACCGCCGCATGCAGTCACATCGCAGAATAATGACAGCGTTATGCGAAACGTCAGTACAAAGGGAGTATCTTTCGCACTACCGACGAATTCCGGAAGACTCAGAACAAGAAGCTGTTTGGACACATCACTAGAGCAGCTAGATCTGATCCACTCCGGCTGGCTGGAATTTGGCACCAAGAGCTGGTTGGCTGCCAGGGATCGACAGCAAGATTTTGCGAAAGCATGTGGAGGGAGACTACTTGTAGAATGAGAGAGCACCCATTCAGGCACCGAGCCAGCAATTCGGGAACTCGGTACTGGAGAGAGTTTCAATTCGGTGATCTGAATGCGCGTTGAGACCTCGTCTGGATTGTCCGAGTTGCGAGCGCGTCATTCGAGAACTGGGGCGGAAACTCGGAACCAAGCCGAGAAATTCAGGAATCGGGATTCAGAAACCGGGCTAGCCAATTCCGAAAACGAGACAGTACAGTCGTACACTTGAGGGCCTCTCTTGTCACTTCGGGATTCTTCATTTTGGGGACGATTTTAGGGTTTGCTCTACCTTCATCTTGGGGACGACTAGGTTTTGCCGTGCCTTCCTCGTTTTAGGGTTTCTTGAGAGCTTCAGCTTGGGGACGACATCAGAGTTTGCTCTGCCTTCCTCGCTTCGGGTGTCATCTTCGGGGTGACTTCACAATTTTCTCGTTTGCTCTGCCTTTTTGGCTTCAGGGTGAGGGCTTCATCTTCAGGACGACTTGCGGCTTCGTATGGGACGGCTTCAAGGTTTGCTCTGGTTTTTCCACTCTAGGTAGGGTTTCTTCGGGACGACTTTAGGGCTTCATCTTGGGGACGACTTTGGGATTTGCTTTGGCAACGAAAAAGGAGACAATACAAAACACAAGAACCACACACAGCGAACACAGCAAAAAGAACACAGCGGACCCCTCTGCCGTTCAAGGCTTCCCGGGCTCCGGGTTTCAAGGACTTAAAAGGTGTTCTCTTGGGTTCCGAAGGGGGACTTTAGCTTTGCGCAGCAACCTCCGGAAGAGGCCGCCCATTTTGCAGTCCGGCATATCTGACTTAGCAAAGGCGTGGCAATGCGCAGGTCAGATCCACGCACAGCCGGAACATGTCCTGCGGCGCCGGAACTGTGATCATTCGGTTCCTGAATTGGCTGCTCTCGATTTCCGATGTTCCGCACATGGTGCGCGAATCGGGTTCGGAATTCTGGTTGGTTTCGGAATCCCGGTTGCCGACTTGCTCGTCGCAGTGTCGAATCAGCCCGCAGGTAGACACATCGAAAGTTTTTTCATGCCGCCCTTCGTAGTTGCATGTGGGCTTCGCGTAGAGCGAGAGAGAAGTTTTTGCTAGCGAAACCGATCATAGTGAAGAAGGCAGGTCTCACAGCAGCATCCTAGAAGCCCACGTTTGCACTCGGTTTGATGTAAGAAGTGCCGCGAGATTGCAAGGACAATGAAGCCAGCGACCACACTCTTGCGGAGAGGAGAAGCGCTGAAATTGCAGATCAAGTCGCCTCTGCCGTGCCTCTACCTTCAATGATACATGGCAGCCGCGAAATCTCAAGTTGTATGTCACGCCGCGTCTCTAGTGTTGTCGACTCCACACCTGGGATGTGCTGCGTCGGGACCGGGCTAAAGGTCACAGGGCAGCTGTAGCCTTGACGGACGAAGACTGGGGCAAGTCCGAGGTCTCTGGGCAGATCCTAGAGGTGCTCCAGGGAACGATGAGACGCCAGGCTTGACACTATGCCCTAAACCTCAAACCTATCCAAACCTGGCTAATGTGCACTCCTGGACCCTTCCCCGGTCGGATCCCTTTCCAGGGTTACTGTATGGTGCGTTCATGTATCACTTATGCACGTCGACATCGCTCACTGGTCTGCGGCATCTTTGGCCACTCGTTGAATCGTTGAGCTTTATAATCTCCAGGCCCGGAAATGGCACCTTTCTACAGAAGCTGCTAATCTCGCGATTTGCGGAGGATTTTAGCCCAGCCGCCTACGATCGTTGCCTCTGCACAGCGCAGCTCAGGAGAAGCAACAGCTTCCGCTCTACAGCAGGTTTGCACGGTAACTTGGTCGAGCAGGGTGGTAGAGGGAGGCATTTTGATCACCTGAAGCTTTGGACCGGGGAGGCCTCCCTTCCACCGAGGCCACAGCGAGAGTCTGTCGCTTGCTAGACCGGCTGCTCGGACGGGAAGCGGGGAGTCCGGAGACTGGTAACAGCGAGGGCTTCATCGTCGGCAGAGTGTCGTCGCTTTATCTTCTCGGGATGCCCGCTGCGACGCAACGTTGCTTCGGATAAGTCTTAGTTATTTCGCGATCCCAAGCTGATTGCTGGTTGTCGGCTTGGCGTTTGGTGCAAGTAGCACGTTTGATGTCGGACCGGCGCGAGATGATCCGATCCGATCCGATTCGCCTTCTGAGATTCACCGTGTCATTTGATGCCATCTGCACCTTACATGGCCCCGAAATGCAGCTCTTTTGCGGTGAAGCAGCCTAGCACCCAGGCTCGAGCATGTGGTGTCCCCAAGAGACGAGCAGTTCTCATGGGCCACCTGCCAGGAATTTAGAGATGCCACCAGTCCGGTCGAAGGCTTCTTGCTTCTTTCAGCTCTGGGCGGACACGGTGCATGATGTCCAGTTTGCAGACTCAAGGGCTGCCGCGCGGAGACAGAACGTAGATCCATGCCGAAGGCAGCATGTGGAAAGCACTGAAAAATGAACTGACCCAGAACTTTGTTAGACTCTGCCATGGCTAGGGGCCCAGAGCGATCATTCAGGTTTCTGTGAAGAGCTGCTCGCCACTGCGCCCAAGGAGCCTCTTCCGCAGAGAACCAACACAGCCCGTCCGAAGTCCAAGAAGGCATCCGTGCGAGGCTGAGAGACGTACTGACGCAGTCTTGCGGAATGTCCAGGAGCGAGGATGAAGTCCGTTGTGCCAAGGTGACGATACACACCGTTCACGCGATCGACGGGACCGGTGTTGCAAAACTTGCGTTGGTGTTTTACTGACTCGTTCAAGGCGGTGTAGTTGGAGTGCAGGTCCCGCACAGCTTTTCGACGGGGTTTTTGCACGTATTTGCAGTGTTCTCGCAGTTTCGGGAAGCTCATTGTGGTTCTGGAGCTGGCAGTTTGTAGGCATTTGCGAGCTTTCCTCTGCATTGGGAGCTTCGAACTCCGTATTTGCGATGTTTGAGGTCCTTCGTCCATCTTCTGTACCTTCGCACCCGGTGTCACACCCGGTATTCACGCTATTCCCTTTGTGCACTTTGACTTTCTTAGGTGGGGCAGGAGGGGGTGATGACGTTCATATCATATTCTTGTAGCAATGAGGCTTGGTGCTTCTTGTCCAGCATGAGCTGCTGCCACTATGGGACTAGTGCTCATATGGGCATACATGTTCGAACACCGAAGGGGCTTGGTGCTGCTTCTGCAAAGAGTCCTCATGCTACAAAGCAGGACTTCTGCTGCTGTTCGAATCGCAGTGAATATAAGCTCGAGACACCTGTTTACTCAAAACGAAAGCATTCAATATGGTTTCTGCCCAGTGCTCTCATTGTGAAAGTGCTGAAATTCGGCAAGCCGGAGGCGTAAGTCAGAATCTCCCAAAGGTAGCCAGATGCATGACACATCGGACATCGTCCGAACACCCAAGTGGATGTCCCGACCCTAACCTTACGGAAGCAAACCGTGTTGCCCGACTTGACCTGAGAGACCTCGTCTGGCTTGTCCGAGTTGCGAGAGCGCAAAGGCCTGAGACCTTTCAGGTCGCTGGACAAGTCAGCTTTTCTCGCCTTGAGGAGCAGGAAAAGTTAGCAGCAGACAAGATAAGCACCACCAGCACCACCACCGAAACAACGAGATGCAATGATGACAAGGGAGGAAAGGCAATGTCATGATTATGGTGATGATGATGTTGCTGACAGCCGACGGTGCTGGTTTTATGAAGTACAGAAACAAAAACAACTACTACATAGACTGAAAGGCCCCTGCCCGCGCAAAAAAACGGATTCATTGCTGCATAGCTTGTCCCGAAAGCCCGCCCCTCCTGCCTGACCATGTTTTGTAGATAATGTCTGCTTGACGTGCTCTTATGCTAGGCACGGGAAGAGCCGCGAACCGTGTAGTTGCCTTTGTTTGAAGGACATTTGCAGCCCACCCCGGTGTTAGCATCTTGGTACAATTTCAGTCCCTGCTGGCCTGGTCCTGCGAACTACTAGGTGGGGACTGAACAGCAAGAGTGTGGCTGCTCCCTGAAAGGTCTGCCTGTGCCGATGTTCCCCCTGCCGGCCAAGAAACGACGCTCAGAGTAATATCCCTGCCAGGCATGTGACATTGCCACCCTAAAGCAAACCTTCAGAAGCATAGCTTCACTGTTTTTTTTGGTGAGCTCTACGTTCTGTATCCTTTGTGTCCAAGATATTCTCACTCAAAGCTGACCTGAGGAGCAGTGAACCAGGGCACCGTGGACTCGAAGATATCCTGGGAATCCGTGGCCCGGAGCGTTCGAGGTGAAGCTGAGAGTAAGAACATTGCATGCAGAGCATTGTGCAAGCTACCTTCGCGTGCAGTAGTGTTTGGAATAATACAGTGACCCAAACATGCCCCTGGGCCATCAGGTATTGCAGGTTTGCTCCATGACATACTGCTTGAAGGTGTTCTGTTTTTCCACATGTGCGTGTATCATGTCATGTCAAACAGCAGGCCTTGATCGTATCTGCCTTATGGAGAAGGTGAAGTTTCAATTGATGCACCGTCACCATGCGGTTCCACAAATGAAGCATCTTTGACTTCTTGACTTGTCGTCTTTCTTCGTCTTGTGTGACCGACGACGTTAGCGGATGTTCTTACTGGACACATACACACTTCTTCTGTTCTTCCAGCTCTCGTGTAATGTACATACCGGTAGTTGCATCGACATGCTCAACCGCAAACGCCAGCTCGTTATCGCCATATTCAACATCATCATGCATGTCTAAATCCTCAACCTCTTCCTCGTGCTTCTGCGGTTGGTCATTTTTTCAACGTTTCGCTGATGGTAAGCTCTTGCTGTTTGCCTCCTCATGAGCTCCACGACAAATGACGGCAGGAGACGAGCCCGTCGCGAAAACAAGTGGGCGGCGGGCAATGTCAGCTCTATCCCTTCAAGGTTGCTCCAGCAAAAGCTTCGGTTTTCGGGTTTTGCCGTGCTGCATACGAGCTCAGAATGCCTTGTCCTAGTCTGCACGTGTGTGTCTTTGCGTACATGGATGCCCAGGCAGGCGATCAAGTGTGATCAAGTGTTTGAGCAAAACACCGCTGTACTGTTCTGTTCACGATTGGTCCCATAGCTGCTTGTCTTTATGCATAAAAAGGACCTTTGTGCAGAGTATGGACATGTATGAATGCCTGCGGGGTTTGCATGAAAGTCTGTACTTTGTACAGACAGGATCTAGAAGCTGCGGAACTGTACATGCATGGTTTCAGGCAGAGGGACAGGGAACAGGGCAGGTAGATAGATGGAGGGACGACGAGACAGAAGCAGATGAGCCAGGGTGGGGTCTTTACATAGTATCTAAGTGCGCAGATGTGGGTATGGTGTTCCTGAAATTCTCCTGAGTCGTCTTGCAGAAACGGGTTTAGCAGTGTGCGGCCTGAAGAGGAGGTGCTGAGAGATGAGTTCAGCAGTAAAGGCCCACCTAGGGCCTCTGAAGCTGTCTCCGCCACAAGCCAAGCCGACGCTGGATCACCGACTCCATTCCCAAGAACATTGGGTGGACAAGGGATCGGTTTAGACTTCTGCCAAAGCAACCTACCGTACCTGCAGAAGTTCAGAAACAACTGGACTGGTTCTGCAACTGGGCCGTGCCAGGATATGCTCCGCAGGCATCCGAAGAGGCATAGTGGGCTTGTTTTGTTGATGCAGGTGATGCCTGACTATCGCAGATGTCTACAAACGCAAGTCGTGTGCAGTAGCAGATCGGCAACTCTTTGGGAGGGTCGCCAAAGTATGTATGCAGGGTCTGACTCCCTCCCCGTGAAGCACCGTGCGATTCCATCGCTCGGGTACGCTTGCTTTAGCGACGGGCTCTTTGCATGACCGGTCCAGCAGATGTCAACCGTGTGTTTCTGTTTTCGAACACAAAGCCGAACTGCAGTGTGGTTGGGGTGTGCGTCTCATTTGCACACGGGCAGGACATGCTGAAGCGAGATCTGCCCGCCATCCACTCCGTTATGAAGCTGAGCCGCAGTCAGTACACAGCAGGGCAGAATATGCTACATTGCCAAAGTCGGTCTTTGCTTTCGAGTGGGTGTGTGCGCAATTGGGCTTGGACTCGAAGGGAAGCGAATTCATGGTGGCTAGACATGCATTATGAAATTTTACAAGATCGCAAGATCTGTGTGATGTTTTCTCATGCTGAGGCAAACATTCAGTAGCGCTGGTTGGTCGATTGAAATCTGAGATCGCGAAACTGACCCCGTGAAATGAGTATGGTGGGTGCTGGGGGACTCGCATGCAAGATATCGCCAGATTTTGTGTCGGCCACACAAACTTCGCACAAACAACGCGGGAATCTCGTCGATAAAAGCAACGCATCTTCTCGTCTGCCATGTCCCTTCCTTGATAGTTCAGGGTCCAAGGACTTCCTCGGTTCAGATGCTTAGGGTTTCTGCCACGAGTGCAGCAGCTCTCTGAGCTCCAGGCGCATATGTGCAAGTCTGTGCAAAAAGTTTTTCCTCGGTATTGCAATTGGTGTTTCCTGGGCCCTGGGCGGGGGCCAAAGGAAATGAACGAAGCTCACTCACTCACTCACTCGCACTGCGGATGTCCGGAGCGTCTAACGTGCAGATCCCCAAAAATGACCTCTGCTGTAGAGGGCACAGGGAGAAAGAACAGAAACCAGTCAACTCAAAAGCGGCAAAGGGAGGCGAGGGGAGCGAGACAACAAGCTACAACCCAGCGGCACTCCGAGGGGAAGGAAATGATCGAAAGACGGCAGCCGGACGGACCTGGAGCTCGCAACAAACTCTGGCAAGGCCAGCATTTGCGGAACTCATACAGGCCTTAGCTGCCGTAGAAATGGAAGGATGTGAGGCGCAGAACACAACCCCATTCGGGGTGGGTACTGTGCAAAACTCAGCATCAGGCATGAGTGTGCGCCAGAGGCTTCGCCCCTTATGGCTGGGACTACCTTGAATAAAGACAGCAGCGCCCCGCTGTACATGGGCCCCAATCATTCGGAAAGTCACGGTCAGAGCAAGTAAGGATTGCATCTCAAGCGGAGGGCCGTTATGGGACGACTCGCCAGCAGCCTCCATCACGCGACGCAGCTTGCCGAAACCCCTGCGAGCACTGTGATCCCATGGATGAAGATGCTGAGCAGTCCACCATAGGCTCCAGAGCCCATGCCAGGACTCCTTGAGTCGCCAGACTGCCAATGTGCGTAGCATCGCCTGCCAGAGTGGGGACACGACAGTGGGAGAACCGGTGGCAATAGATGCTGCCACTGCATCCTCGTCTACGAGAGTGAGAAGCCGAATTGAATCATGAGGAGGTGCAAGTCCTGCCGTGATGTAGGAGTCGCTGGGAGACTCCGCCACAGGGCCTTCCGCGACGTCCTCTTCATGACCCACTACCGGAGGTACCCGGCCTGTGGAATTCTCAACTGGCCACTCGTACACGTCCCGAACGCCAAGCACCGTACGGCGTTCATGCTGAAGTTCGTCCTCAGTGCAGGCGCGGCCAAGAGCAGCCGCCCTCCGTTGGGCAGGCGTCGCATTGACTGGTCCCGGAACACGCAGGGGCGGCAAGCCACGATGGCCCCGCTGCCCTTTACGTTTGGTGCCTGTCCCATAAACATATGCACGACCGACCACAACTCGGAGCCCGTGCATACAACCAGGGCTGCGCTGCAAGTGATATTTCAATCGGTCAGTGGAGTGGTGCTCGTAGTGACACCAAAGGCATACAGTACCGTGTGTAAACTGGGTTAACCAGTTGACCACAGAGTGCTTGCGGTGAATGTGAGCAGCCAGTGCCTGTCTACTAGGTAACACAGCATTGCTTAAATTGCAACGCTGGGGAGTATGTGCGCCGAGAACCTGGGACTCTTTTGGTGTCACGACATCCCTCCAGAGGTCAGAAAAGGCACGGTACATGGAGCCATACCTGCTGAGGTGCCGGCAGGCATTCAGCAACTGACCATTGTTTGCACGCAAGCTGGCAATAGTAACGCCAGTCTGGCTGCCATCGGGGAGGGCACGCATGACTTCGGTACAGGCATCTGTCAGCAGTTGCGCCCAAGTCGTGGCTCGGTTCCAGATCGCATCCACAAGCTCGTAGACATGACCGGAGTCCCGGTTGAGGAGTTGCAGGACCAAGCGCGCGCGAGCTATACAGCAAGCGTCCTCTGGCGTGGACAAGCCCAACAACAACACAAGGATCGGCCTCGAGAGGATATGGCCGTACTGCCAAGAACCAGCAAGGTGACGCGCAACCCTATCAAAGAAGCCTTGCAGAGGCGCCCATGCTCTCGCGGACACCGCAAGGGACGTGCATAGCGTAGCGTAAGCAGCCCGAAAAACCCGACCTGCGACCCACGCTTGTTTAAGCTTCCAACTGAGGGTTGGGCAAGACATAAGACTCTTTGCATGGGACCATGCACCATGTGCGCGTTGTGCACATAATTCAATGTCGCGGCGGCCAGTGTCCCTGGGGGTGGTCAAGACTCCGAGGTACCTGTATTCCGGAGAAATACGGATCGCATGACCTGAAGGCAAGCGCAAGAGAGCAGGTGGTGCAAGAAGCTCGGCACGCACTTGCTTGGCAGATGGTCCCCGAATATCCAGAAGGAGCTCGGTCTTGCTAACCCCAAGATTAATGCGGAACCCCAAAAGCTCAAGGGTGGAGATCACCACACTAGCAAAAACCGGCAATTGTGCAAGCAGCTGGCGTGGCGAGCAAAAGTCTGCAACAATGGCGAGATCGTCTGCCCAGCCAAGAGGTAGTACATCACTCTGCAGGCCCACATAAGCTCCAGCTGATTGGAGCGACACTCCGGATTGCTGACATGCTTGTCGAATATGCCGAAGCGCAATGGCGAAGAGAGCACCGAACAAAATGTCCGCAAGGCCATCGCCTGGCCGGGAGCCGCACGAAGCCAGGAAGATGTTATCTGAGCCTGCCAAGTGAGTAGGCTACGCAGTCCTGGAGTAGGGCTCTTTCCGCAGCGGGAACGCCTAGAAGCTCAAGAGCGCCATTTCGGTGGAGGCTGTCGACCAAAGCAGCGAGATGCCAGGAATCCCCCTTTGCAGAGTCCTTCGTAGCCAACTCGTCCCAAGGTTTATCCCTCGTGGCCCCGAGAAGAGAGCATGGGGAGTCCATATGGTCAGCGAGGATTCGACAGGTTTCCTCGTTAGCACACGCATGCACCACATGACAGCGCCCCACAAGTTGCCCCTGCTCAAACGTCTCAATAATGATGGTGCGTAATTCTTCAACCTCAGGGCAGAGGCACAGAGATGAGGAACGTCAGCATATGCCCACGGCAGCGGCACCCACCGTCCAGGGTATCGTGCAGTGAAAGGGCCACGAAACTGGCGCTCTTGTGCACACCACAGAACTGGAGAGGGAATTTTTGCACGTACTGGTCGGCGGCCTGGTTGCCAGAGGACAACATCCAGCGGAATGTCAACGTAAAAATCCAAAGCCCGCAAAGCAGAATGTCGCACCTGAGCCGGTAAGCACTCGGTAGTAGCAGCACGGAAGGTGGGCATGTCAATCGCGCTGAGTTCCGCATCCGACGGAAAGGCCAGAAGAAGGTCACCATCTCGCCATAAAACAGCCTCATTGAGGCTGGCCCCATACGGTTGGGCGGTCAGAGGTGACCTAAGGGAAACGACTGGCCCGGGGGAAACGCTCCTTAAGTAGGCAATAACCCAGTTCACATCGGCACGCTGCGGGATGATCATTGGGAGTTGCCAGTCCGGAGTAACCACTAAAGCAGTTACTAGCGAAGGTGCAGGAGCAACGGGCAAGAACGTAAGCTCTTGAGGCGTTGGCGCCGGCCATACCGGAGTAATGTCAAAAGACCATGCTGGCTCAGAGCCCGTGAGTGCCAAACGCACCTCCTCAACTGTGTCATCCGGCGTGCCGGCGAAAACCTGGTCATCATGCACGGCAAACGGTGAGAGGAGACGACATGACTGGCCGGCGTCAGTGGATTCATGGAGGGCACGGTCAGAGTAAGCGACTCGCCAGGGAAACTTGCCAACCCGAACAGGTGAGCATACCCGACCTTCCTCAGGTACCACCATCGCGGCACCCGGCTGCAAGAAAACACTGACAAGAAGCCAAAACCGTGCGTACCGAGATAGGATGGCCGCTCCGAACACCCGGACAGCACAGATGGCAGAAAGAGGGTCACGCTCCGGGGAGGGATGAAGAACGTCACCGTCGCGGAGGGCGACTGGCTCGACGCATCGCCGAATACGCGAAGCTTGGCTCCATCCATCCGGTGGGTGGCATATCCCTTGCTGTGGTTCTATCAGCTGACACTCAGGAGATTCGCCCCGGTAGGGCCTGTGGAGGAGAACCCTAGCTGCCCCGGACAAAGTGACAACACCCATCCTCAAAATAACTAGCGGGGATCCAGCGTGTTTGGCTAGGCACTTGTCTCTGTGGAAGAAACTGCAGCAGGCCCGGGTGCCATTGACTGCCCCTAGCAATCCAGTGCCGCGCACACCGGGTATCGGGATGGCCCTCCGAGCTCCAAACCCAGACCCAACCACCATGCCGGACAGTAAAATCCGAATGCCACCCATTGTGATGCGGCAGCCACGTGAGATGCCTGTAACTATGACATGTAGGCTCCCTGTACACAGAGTGGCCTGCTTCAATGCACCACTCAAAAGTGTCTCCATCTCTCAGGTGAAGGCACATACTCGGAAGGTCAGCACATTGTCGTAGGGCAGGCGGAAGACGTAGAGTCGTGCCTTGGGCCCAAACCTCCCTTCTCAGGTAGGCAGTGAGCTCGCGCACGGTGAACCGGCGCGGCACAAGAACGGCTCTAACTTGAGCTGCCGTGTATACGAGAACAGTCGCGAGATCCGGCTGCCCGCCGGGAAGTAGTGTCATTGGCCGACGCTCCAGGAAAGGTGGAACAGCAACATGAAATCTGCACCACACGCCACAGTAGTCGCGAATGACCTGATCAAGAGAGGCGGCCGCAGTGGC